GAGTCCTAGGAATCCATCTTTCATTTTTCTTTCTTCTGAGGAGGACTGAGCAATGATAGTAAGAGCAGGCTCTTTCCCCTCATGGCAACTAGGGACCAGATCAGGTGCCTTTAGGTAATTTTTAAATAAACAAGGCTGCATGTTGGTTCCCTGGCATCTTGGAGATTTCTGTGAAGCAGAGGACTCTGGCTCTAAGGGGATCTGCCAGCATTTGAGACTTCCATTGACTATTAACCCTCAGGTTCTGCACAGTTCTCTGCACTGTGTGAAATATCCAAAATTCTGGGTCCTGGTGAGCAAACTGAGGACGCCCCATAGCAATGGGCTGGGAACAATTGGAAGAAAAGGCATGAATTGCCAGCTGCAATCAACAGTTGTTTTTCTTACTGAATATGGTATTTTGTCACTTATCATCCATACTGTATTGCATAGCAGATTGTTGTTCACTTTTATATTCTGCTTTTAGAATTTTTGCAACCAGTAAATGACTTATCAAGAAAATATGTTTATGTAGAAAATGAAGTGTCAAATTATCCAGTGTTTCGATTACTTGGGTGGTTGTTATTTTTTTCCCATAATTGACTCCTCTGAAAAGCTTTTCTTCTCAGAGAGGCCGCTGTGTTGTCAATCGTGCCAAATTGTATGAGATTATGTGCTACAGTTTTGTGACAGAAACTGATATTCATTAGGAAGTTGTTATCACTGTAATAAAAAGTAATGAAAAGGAGATGCACAGTTGTCTATTCAAAACATGACAAGCATTCTTTTCTTTCCTCTTCTTTCAGTGTCTGTCAATCTGCAGCTCCCTTAAATTACCACTTGTGCATAGTGAATTCACTCTTCCGTTGACTAATCTTGTTGAGACTGTACATTAAATAAGGGACATTTCTAATGGGTCCACTGCTTATGGAAGACTTGTCTTGGCAGAGAGAGGAACAGAGAAGAAGGGAGAATTGGAAAAAGATTTAAGATGATTTCCTTGTGTTATTTTCCTCTGTTGGTCAGTCACGCTTTGAGCACTTCTGCAGCAGTTTGCTGCTGAGAGAAGTGGTTGGTTGCACACATTAGCACCTCACAGCGTTGCAAGGACTGTTCTCTCCCTGCCACGCTTCACAGCCATATATAAATGTTAGTATCTTGACCTTAAAGAAAAAAAACCAGTCAAAGATGAGGTCAGCAGGTTAAGGGTGGCAGTACCATATGGAGGCACAGCTCAGGCTTCTCTTCACTTATCGCTAGCAAAGTGCACATAAAAGTAATCAGCGTTCACATCTACTTGCTCTCTCTCCTGATTTATCTCAGTTAACTAGCTGAGGCAGTAAGTTAATTTTTCCTTGGTCGTTGGTATTCAGGAAGCACTTTGGAGATGTGACTAAGATCAGAGCTCCCTTATTTTAGTCATCGTGTGCACATGTACGAAGAACTTAAATCTCTTTTATTGAGCCAATGTATTTTGTCTTGCATTGTTGCAGGCTTAGCAACTCTCTCTGAGAGAGCCAGTCCCTTTTTAAGCTGCAGTAACCTTCCTGTGTGCCTCACCTCAGGGAAGCACACCCTTCCCTGCTGGGATAACCATGTTCAAGCAAGACTGCTGCTGGCCCCTCGTGCTTGTGACAGATTTAAATTAATGCTTAACACAGTCCAGGCTTCCAAGCCTGGACAGACAACACTGAGTATCACCAGTGATGATTACTGGGGGGTCTTTTGGAAGAGAAGCTGCTGCCCACTCCTTATGTACATGGAAGATCTCCATGGCTTCTTTCACAGAGCAGGGCCGCTCCTCTCAGTGTCGAGACACGTCAGCTGCTTTGCTGCCATCCATGAATGTGCTGCTTGACTGGTGTCTGCTCCTTGGAGAGGGTTGCATTTCATCAGCACCCTGCAAAAGATACATGTTGAGATACCTTTCCTGGAATGAAAGGCTGAATTGCTCCGGTTGCTGCAGCATTTTAACTCTGGGAATGTTCTCTTCAAGCCTGCTCTGAATTAACTGAAAGTTATAGCCAGCATCAGGCAGCTGGTTAAAAAGTTTTCCAAGATGACACCTTGTCTCCCTACTGTTATTGACAGAAATAATGCAGTATTGAATCACTACCCATTTTAGCTGTAAATACTGAACTGGATTAAGTAGACTTTTCTCTTACTAAAATCCTTTTCTATGCATTAATGAAATGCTGTTTGAAATGGCAGGGAAAATAAGTACCACCTTAATTCTCCTTCACTTTCCCACCTTTACATTTTGAGATCAATTGCATTAAGGTCAATAGTGAATGAATGATGTAGACAGCACAGAGGGTTTATCCTTGTTACTGATGCCAATGGGAAGCAGCTTCATAGCTGCCTCTCACTGGTTTGTGTCACCTTTGACCACTGGTGTTCTGTGGGTAACAGGAAAGGACAGCAGTCACCTCATTTATTTTTATTTCCTAGATGCTTTTCTAGGCTCCAGTATCACATTAGCTGAGTGCCTCAGAGTCTTTGCTATTGCAGGCCTCTCACTGTCCTTCCTAGAGGTGGAACAATGGTCTCTCATTTATGGAGGTCATCCTGAAATGCAGAGACAGTGACTAATTCCTTTTTCATGGAAAGAGTTGAATCCCATTCCCTGCCATGCCTGTGCAGCACCCCAGTAAAGTAATAGCTGAGAAATAAGCAAGATGTGGTCTGGGCAAAATCCCAGCTTTCTTTCTCCAGAAGTGAGGTCCACCCAAGATATCGTCGGATATCTTGTCCAAAAGACACTAACTAACTTTTTTGTTAGCTTTACACCGAGTAGATTGAAGGGTGAGCAGGAACTTTTCAAGATGAAGTGGAATTCCTCTTCCTCATTTGGAATGAACTGCAGTTGTATCTTGTTTTTGAGAAGAATATCTTCTGGACTTGTCTTAGACCTAAGTGGTTCTCTTATCATTATTCCCATTAACTGAAGTTTGCTTTTAAAGAATTACAAATGATCTTTCCAAGTGCCCTCTATTTATATTTCCCTCTGCCCAACTGAGCAAAAGGGGTTTTGAAACCATGTTGAGAGAGATGATAACTTCTCAACTGAGGTGTATGCCAGGGGAGTTGCAGGCCGTGATGCAGCTGCCCAAGCTACAATTCACGTTGTGGGCTTACCTGTCAGCATTAAGGACAGAATTAAATGGATTTCATTTATGAATATCACGGTTTGAAGATGACAAAGATACAAAATGTTGGTTTAGCTGAAGGTAGTTTAAGAGTTGAAGGTCCTTCACATGGTACTGTAGCTTTGCACAGGTGCACTGAGTGGCAGAAAATACAAATACTTGTTTAGCACACTGGGAGAAAGGAGCTGGGGAGTGGGAGGGAGATATCCATGCCATGTTGTTCCCACTCTGTTTTACTTGATTTGAAAGGAAAGCACACCATTTTCATTTTGTGTCATGGAGGATATTTGTGATGAATTTATTTGCTTTATGCCTGTGTAAGCAGTTAGAACTTTCTGTGCCTGCCTAATGTGAGGATGCAGCCTGTAGTTTGACTTGTAGGTTTTTTCCCCTAAAAGCATGCAAAATCAGAAGTATATTTTCCCCCTCTCTTTTGTAGGGACTTGAAGTATTATTTTTAAAAGACAGATTTAGAGTGATTGCACACCAGACCAGATGCTGAATGGGACCTCAAACCTGACACTAATCTGCCTCATTCACTTTGAAAAAGCTCCTTCTTTGTGTGTTTCCCTTTTAAAGTCAGGGCTAAAGGCATTCTCTTTCCATACACATAGTAGTTGAGCTATATGGACTGAAGAAAGAAGGGAATAAGAGGAGGATTTTGCCAACAAAATAAAATCCAGCCTTGGCTTTTACAGTAAATTATCTGGGAACAGGGTTTCTTCCGTTTGAGGAAAGCTTGGCTGTGGCATGGTGATTAAAGCGTACTAAAGGACAGACAGGAACTATTCAGGCTTCTCTCAGCAAAGCTACATTTCCTTCAGTCTTTTCTTTGCCTTTAGTGTAGCCTAGGTCCTGGCACTCTTTCTGTGAAGAGATGCTGTCATTCCTTTCCTCCATTCCTTCCAATCTGCTTTGCAAGAAAGGAAACTGATTCATGTAGGTAGGTAACACCATATTCTCATGCTTTCTTGTTCCACCTTTGCAAGGGAGCCACCGGTTCACTGAGATGCTTTTCCCATCAAAATTCACTATAAAGACCAGTATCATCTGTGGGAACAGAGGGTATTTCTTGCTAAATTTTGCGGTACACCATTGCAACCTGGATAAAGGTTTTACCACATAAGTGTAAAATAATTTTTTCCCTCACAACTTACAAAAGGCACTGTGATTACAGGTACCAATTTGACCTTCAGGACAGTCTTCAAGCCTGACACTCTCATGGGACTCTTTTTTTGAAGGGGAATAGTTGGCTTGTTGGTTTGGTTTGGATTGTGGCCTGTCATTTGAACCACACAAAGAGAGTGATCAGACTGGCACAACCTCATCTCTTTACTCTCTTTCATATAAAACTCTACCCATATGTCTCCAAATTGCAGCAATAGCTGGTATTAATAAAATACCATTAAAAGTTTTCTAACTATCAGCATAGTCAGGTACTGGTATTGCTTGCCTAGGGATGTTTTATAATACTGGATATGCAACACAGTTTGCAAATATTCTTAAAAACAAGTTAAACAAACCTCTTTAAGAAATTATCTTGGATGTGGATAATACACCTTCAGGCAAAGGAATGGGTGAGATTTCTTTAGTTCTACTTTTTATCATTTGTTGAGCATGTTAACAGAACTCTGGAAATATTTTGGCATATTTACCATCTGTTGATGTGTAAGAAATTATATCTTGGAAAATCAGCATAGAAAATTTTTGCCTAATTGGGTAATTTGAATGAACTCAGGAACTGAGGGCTTCTTTTTCAATATGCCTTTTGAGACTGGAAAGGGTTTGACAACATGGGTGTATGTGTGATACATAGTGTTGTAAATGTGCTTTAGTCCTAAGAAATAAGTCTGTGTTTTTGTTAATGCACAGGGAACAACGTCATGAGGACCATCCATGGGGTAGGAGAGATGATGACACAAATGGTGCTGAGCAGAGGGTCTGTATTTCCCATCAGTACCCCTGACATACAGCCAAGCATTCACCCAAGCAAGCAAGCCAGCACTGCAGACAGTGAAGATGTGATTGTAATGGACACCAAATTGAAAATCATTGAGATTTTGCAGGTAATAATGAGGGGTGCTATATTACACAGCAGTCATTTCACGGCTCTTTACTCACACAGTGGCCAGTTCTGTTACCCGCATTCTTACTACTCACTGTAGAAATAACTCCTTGATATGAGGAAGGATAGTCCTCTGTGTGAACAACTGTGGTCCTCACCCTGTTGTACCAACTTCACTTTTAAAGGAACAGGATGCTGCAGAAACTTTCTCACTTTAACTGTGCAATGACAACTTGTCCTCTAATCTGCATCACTAATGTTTTCTGAAGACAGCATGTCTGTTTCCAGTTTCCTTCACACTCATTTAACACTGGGGTGGTTGCTTGATTTAAGGATTTGCCCTCTGGATGAAGGGCAGAATTGGCCCTGGCCTCACTGAAGTTGTGTGAGGCTGCTCACTTTTGCAGTGCATTTAATGCATTTCAGATTTCCACTGTTGAGCTGAGAACAGTCTGTGGGCTGCTGTGATTTTTTCCCAGCTGACATGACGAGCTGTGTGACACCAGCCTGCCTCCTGAGATACAGTTTTCACTTTGTGCTGTTAATAAATGAAGTGGCACACTCTTGCTCTGTGTATCGAATCTCCATTTCTGCAGTGCTTAGGCCCTGAAGGACTGTTTCAGTGTTTTCTATAAATTCTCTGGATTTGTTGGTACCAATGTCACTTTTGAAGGATTCCATTTGTTCTGACTGCTCATAAATTATTTAGATGACTCTAATTACTTGTCATCTGAAAGGCTATCAGTTGTTAGAATATACTTAATACTGCGTTCTTTGGTTCTTGGCCTTCTTTACTTTAAAACTTACAGTGGAAGACAGAGTGTTATGAAATTATGACCTAAATAATACCATTCACGTGTATTTTTCATTTTCCTTGTTTCATGCTTTTTATTTTTCTTGTTTGTATGACTGAATTTCTCTCCATACTTTACTGATGGATGCCTAGGAGGATGATTCCAGGACCTTGTCCTGTGCATTCCCTGAGGGAATCACATGTTGTCTCATCCTTTCCTTTTTCACAGCACATTCATTGCAAGAGCACTCAGGATTGAAGAGCACTTAATCCTAATTTCTTACTTAATGTGTGCTTTGATAGTTAAGGATTAATCACATGGTCAAAATACTTCAGACAAGCAGTTGTCAGATGCTGGGTGAATCCCAGTAAATGTGCATATATATGATCCTAGCCCACAAGAAATACAAAATAATTAAGTTTTATTTAAAATGCAATGAAGAAGGATTAATTTAAATCATGTTACCTTTCATTACTATGCTATTAGCCTCAATGGTGAGTAAGAATATTTTGGATTTATTGTACTAACACGCATAGCAAGTACAATGGTGATTAAAGCTATTCTATTCTCAGAAACATTTCAGTTTATAGTAATTTAATTCTCAACATATCTTCCTATTCCTTTAAGTAAAGCCTTATGATTTCTATTCTGCCCTCAGCCAGAATTAAACAGATGGTTTGATAGACTTAGTTGACTATGCATGGACTTGGGAAATTTTTATTTTTAAAAATCTTGCTTGTACAATTCTGGGGCAACTTAATAATAGAACCAAAATAGACAAATCCTATTACAGTGAGTCTGAAAAGCATGTTGGGCTTTAGGTGTAGATCAAAGAAACAGGTTGCCACCATTTGCTAAGTCACCTTTCAAATCACCTGTCACCTCAGCCTTGGAAACTCAGCATATTTTTTCCCCACTGATTGTAAAATATGGTAAATAATCTTAAAGGTGTTTGATTACGTGCTTGCATTTCCCGTGGGTAAGAAGCCTCCAGATGTATAACTGTAGCCCTTAATTTGATACTAATGCTTCCAGCCTAGTTATTTTGCTCACTATTCCAATATAAAAGCAGCACTTCAAGGTCTGAATTAGGATTTTTCCTGTATGAGTTTCCACTTTCACAGCTGAGGAGCAAAAAGTAATTTTTCAGGTATTTGAGAGGGTGAGCCTTGAGGCTGTTGTGCTTGCTCTCTATTCCACTCTGTGGGGCATTGGAAGTCCAGCTGAAATATGAAATAATTGATGTCAGCATGGGTTTGAAGGTTCTGATCTGGCTTGCAGGCACTGAAGACAAGGCAGTGTGTTGGAGCCCCTGCACACACCCAGTGGTACTCAAGCAATCCATAGGGCAGGGTTCAACATGTCTCAGGATGGGCAGGGTAAAGAAAGCATTCACAGAAAATGAGTCAATGTATTGGATTGGTTTTTTTTGTAGTAAACTTAATTTACTTCACTTTTTTATTCTTGTAGTTTATTCTCAGTGTTAGACTGGACTACAGAATATCCTACATGCTGTCTATCTATAAGAGAGAGTTTGGGGAAAACACTGAAAACGTTGACTGCTCTACATCATCCCCATCTGACACACCAGGGACTGCCTCAGGTAAACCTTGCTATTTTCTTTCAGTGCAAAGTAGTTCTGGGTGGGCAGCTGCAAAACATTGAGCTCAACTGCAGCAGAAAGACACAGGCTGCTGCAAGTTGAAAAGCTTGTGAAAAAATAAAAATTTTAAGCAATTCCACAGATTTTTTTTTTTTGCTTGCTTATCCTCCTCCTGTAACAAAAAAGTGACTCCTTTTTCCCCACTATGATATTTTGCTCTTTTATCTATGCTTTTCCCAAAATACTGCACGGTGGCAAGTGGAGAACTGTTTGGGATGGATGAGAACAGGTTTAAGTGAGGTGAATGTGGTACAGGAATGATTTGGCTTTCCAGGGAGCCTTCCCATGCACACAGAAGTGCTCAAAAGGTCTGTGTGAACATCTGCAAGTAGGGGAGAATTGCTCTAGTTGGAGGTGGGCATATGTATAATACAGGGGTTCTGAAGTCTTAAGTAATAAGTTACATTAAAGCCATTCTAAAGCAAAATGACACTGTGGCAAATTATGGTAAATATACTGAAGTTCATGTATATGCTTTGTTGGGGTTGACTCAAGAAAAAGAAGAAAATGTAAGAAAAAATGTAAAATTTCACTGTCTGTTATTTGTGGGTCACTGCTGGTAGCTAATACAGCTCCTAGCACCAAGTGGCTTTGGTTCATCACTACAATTGTTTTCCTCAGGAATAGTAATACACAATTCAACTCTGCCCCATATCCTGTTTGCTTTCTGCTACTCTTGCAGAAAGCAAATTTTGCATAGTTGGGGAATGACTAGTTAGACCTTTACTTGGTACCATCTGCTTTAAAGAGGAGCAGAATTCTATTTTGCTGTAGAGATTAAGTGATTATAATTTGCTTTCTTTTTTTTTTTTTCTTTTTTTTTTTCAATTTTTTTCTTCTGATTTTTTTTCCCAGCAATTGTTCCTGACATAGATGAAATTGCAGCTCAGGCTGAAACCATGTTTGCTGGCAGGTATATTCTCTGAAGTTTTACCTCTATGTATATTCATATATCTTTTTGTTCATGACAATATTTCTCATGGCCAATCTCTGTTTATTCTGTGCTTATTTTTATAGCCCGTTCTCTTCCTTTGCTTGCTTGTTAATTGCATAAGCTATATTTGAAGAGAAACGTGTTAGGAAAGACCAACATTTCAATCAAGCAAACAGCTCAGCTGGTCGGGATGGCTGTGGGATTGGCTATGAGCACCCTCTTAGGTGTAAGAGGGTTGGTACAAAGTTTTTTGTTGTATTCCCAAAGGCAGCTGGGGAATGGTGTGCAGGTGTATTGGGCTGAACCACACTAATTTTCTATTTATTTTATAATGCCTTATGTGGGTGCTGAAAAGCCACTCTGTTTCTGGTGTGTCTTATGGCTACAGCCCCAGATGTCCTCCATCAGCAGCTTGCTGCTGGCCCGCAGGATTTCTCATGTATTGCATAGCCTGTTGCCATTCCACTTGGTGTTCAAACTCCTTGGGAAAATCATGCCAACAGCAATCTCTCCTGTGACTCCTCAGATCAAGAGTGGACCACTTGCCATGATCTCCTGGTCCACCAGAGGCCTGTAGATCACAATTTATGCTTGCAGAGTTTTGGAAGGTATTTCAGCTACGCTGTGAACAGAAAAAAGTAATCCATGGAAAACACTCACACTGAAGAGTTATTACCATTATCACTATATTGGTTTAATTATACGGGTATAATTATACCAGTAAAAATTAATTCCATTTAGGCAAGGCTGTAGACTTTAAAGTTTTTCTTGGAGCTAAGGAGAAGGATCTGTGGTGTGGGCACTGTGATCTTTCCTCTCTCAGTCCCTCTTGCATTCTCAATCATTACCAGCATAAGCAATGCCTCCAGGCTGCTCCTGAGCTCCCATAATGTAAAACAACACACAGCCCTTGGCATCTGCATCTTTAAAATGAACAGAGAGACCGAATGGTTTCTTGGAAACATTATTTCTGCTTTGATATGTTAGGTGTAAATCTGCTTTCTGCCGCTCCACATTATGAATATGATTCCAGAAATATGATGCTTTTGGCAATTCTTGCTATTTTTGAGCTTATTTTTTCTTAAATGAAATTTTAATAGCAGCTGAAAAGGGAAGGAGGGAAAAGGAAAGGGTCAAATTAATCTCTGATGAAATGCGGTTTACTTCGTTTAATTTGGACTGAGGATAAACCTGGCTCAACTTATCCATGACATAAATTAATGCTTTTACAATATAGATTTTAATCACAATATTTGACACATTTAATTGACACTTACTTCTGCTCTATAGTGTCCATTCTGCTACAAGATTGCTGCAGTGACTGTAGGATAGAAGTCCTTATAAAATATGTTAAAGTCGTATTTATAATTTCCTTCCTGCAGCATATTTGATTTGATTTTAAGAGCTCTGTCGAGTGAAGATTGTATAGAGGCATATTTATCTCAAGAGCTTTTATTTTTTCTTATTTACTTTACTTTATTTGGTCCTTTTTTCCCCGTTTCTGTTGCAGAAAGGAGAAGAATGCAGTTCAGCTTGATGATGAAGGGGGCAGAACTTTTTTACGGGTCCTCATTCACCTCATCATGCACGACTATCCCCCCTTGCTCTCAGGGGCTCTGCACCTGCTGTTCAAGCACTTCAGCCAGAGAGCAGAAGTTCTGCAAGCATTCAAACAGGTATGGAGGGGCTGAGTGTTATCCCAGGAAACTGAATGCAGGGAGCCTTCCCAGAGGCTGCTCTGCTACTTAAAGTGCTGTTTGTTGCATAAGAGTGTTATTTCTTCAGCGGTCAAGTAGCAGCAGACTTCTTGGGCCATATGTGCTGGTATATGTTATAGTTCTGTGCCCCCCAGAAATGTTATTTCTGGCACTGCATCCATTAGGGAAAATGTAGGTCCATGGTGAACCTCTCACAGGGATTCCTCAGGGACATAAGCCAGTGCCTCATGTTTGGCAAGCAGTGTCCCCGTGTCAGCAGTGAGACTTCCTTGCCTTCAGGGCCGCTCGGGCTAGGTATTGTTATATTGTTATTTTGTTATTCACCTGGTGCTTCTGATTCTAATTCACGGGGCTCCCCTGCCTGATGCAGCTATGCCCAAATAGCAGGAAGGCAGGGATAGAGCCAAGCCTGTTTTCAGCTTGTATTCTGTCCCTCTGTAGTGGTGCATGTGCAGGCTCCATGTGTCCGTGGATTAGGATGGGGAGATCTGATGTCATGGGGCTGCACGACAGAGATGCCTCTGTTACGTAACCCTTTATAACATATGTCGATAAGAACATCTGATGCTTATTTCAGGAGCTGGGTAGCTGTTGTCTCATCGTTATGTAAGGTGGGGAGGTTTCTCTCCTGTGCAAACAGATGAATGATAAAGACCTGAAAAGCTTTTGTTTAATGTTTTTGTTGTGCAGCATAATGGCCTCCCATCAGGTATTTAAAGCTAGGCTATGCTGGTGAGTTGCATAAATAGCTATTATTTCCAGGTAAGCAAGGACTGAGTTGCTTAATGTGTTTTTGTGAAGGATGGAAAAGGCTAATGGAGAAATAAACAACAAAGACTGTAGAGCATGTGGAATAAGAATGCCTGCAGTTGAGCAGCATTCATAAATTCTGTAAAATAACAAGGTTTTGCCAAGCCAAGAGAGATTATTATGACAAAAACTTTATATTACAAAATAGTGAATATTTGCCTGGATGTAATGTGGTTTTAAAAACAACATCAATGTTATCAGTGATCCTAATCTTTTACATGAGTATGATTTCTTAAATGTGTTTATTAATTTACTGTAAATATTGCTGATAGTTTTTTGGCATATTATCTTCATTAATAATCTTGGAAGAACAGAGAGTGTTACAAAGAAAGAAAATGTGTAGATCATGGTAAATCAAGAACTACACATAACAGTGAAAAACCCAGATAATTTGAGCAGTGCATGAAAAGGAAAAAAATTAGATTAATCTTAATAAGTGGCAACCACTCAGATGGTGAGAAATTCCATGAACCTGAGAGTCAGTTTGTCAGCTATATTCAGAGAAGTTTTTCTAAACTGGCCTAACAGTGTGAAAGTCTGTTATTTTTCAGTATTTGATTATGGTGGTGTAGGAGATCATTAAAATTGCTGGCCATTCTGACTTTTCTTTGGATGCCCTGATCCCTTGTCATAGCATCCTTTTTTTTTTCCTTTTTCTTCTCAAGTACAGTGCTGAAGCAGTAGCTATTTCTAACTATTGCTTTAATAGTGTGTAACTGTATTTTATAATGCCATGAGGATCATGATCAGTGCATCAGAGCTCACTCTGCACAGAACTCAAGAGCCTGTAAATCTGCCTGTGCTAAAAATGTTTTTCAGTGTATTGAAGAAGGTGAGAGGATGTTGTGAATGCTTTAAAGATCCTGTTTTGGGCAGCTACAGCTTCTGCCTCTGCTAAAGGTTTTTGATAAAAGCCGACTAAAAACCTGCATGTGCCGTGTTTCAATTGCACAGGAAAGGTTGCTCAAGGCACTTGGAAAGAAGCTTAGAATCGGAGCTGTCAAGCAAATTACCCAGCCATAAGTGCTGGTGCTACTGCTGTAACAGCTTCACAATTTCTCCATTTCCAGGTTCAGTTGCTGGTGTCCAATCAAGATGTGGATAACTACAAGCAAATCAAGGCTGATCTTGACCAGCTACGTCTGACTGTAGAAAAATCTGAATTGTGGGTTGAGAAGAGCAGCAATTATGAGAGTGGAGAGGTGGGAGACAATCAAACCAAAGGAGGAGAAGAGCCAATGGAGGTGGGTTTAAAGCCTTTGCTGTCAGAATTGTTTCAATATTGATGGGTAGTTTCATGAACAAGTGCAAAATCTTGGTCTAGTTAAGCAAAGTGGCAAAGTGGAATGTGAGATATTGTGCCTGAGCTTTAGGAACTGACAGAAAGGGAAATAACACCTCTGTTACCAATGTATTAAATATTCTCCCCTGATGCTTTCAGAACTGCATTCTTAGGTCACAGAGCTGCCTTCCTTGCTGCACACACAGCAAGCCACAGTGTGCAGCAACACTCTGGAAATAATCTGGGAATTGTGTGCTGGCAGTTGGGTTGACTTGCTGGAAGAAAAGAGGAGTAGACAGTGTCCTGCAAGTAAGGGAGAGGAGCACAATCAAACTCATGTTTTCAAACATCACAAGTAATTCCACCCTTCAACACAAAAGACTGACCTAAGAATATTGAGATTTTGTAGGTGAACAAATGTTTTCATTTCTTTGGCCCTTGTCATACCATTTTCTCAGGATATTCTCTGATTTGATGTAGAACTTGAATCTAGGGCTATGAAGACCTCTATAAAAAAAAATAATTTTTTTTTAAGATTTCATTGTTTGGATTTTTTAAATTTTGCTTTTCAATGCAAACTGAGGTCACCATTTAATCATTTAACTCCAGCATGAGCTTTTAAGAAAACACAAAGTGTTCCTGTGATTGAGGTTTGTGCCATAAGATTAGATAAAGCAGGCTTTTCCACCAATATTTATTCCCACTTTTCCCTTTTCATCAGAGGAGGTGGGGAGAGATGAGCAGCTGTGATTTCTGACACAGCATTTTCCTTGTTCTCTTTCCTGGTGCCAAGAAAGATGGGTGAAAAAGGGCCCAGGGAAGTAGAAAGCCAAGTGGAGCTCAGCATTGTAGAGGCCACACATTAGGAAAAGAAGCTGGAGAAAGCCATGGAGAAGAGAGAGGATGCTTGCGAATATCTGTGACATACATGTGGCCTTTTAGATGGGGAAGCAGATTTTGTGGTGGCTTCATGCAGGGGCAGATCCAACACTTGAAGGAAGAATCCCAAATTCTTGCACAGTGTAGGTCCTACTCTTTCCCTGATCTGTCTTAGCTGATGTTTTGATACCCCATCTTTAGTGGTGTCAAAATTAGGGAGGAATCTGAAAGGATGTGGTATTTCCTTCTTTCTTTCCTCAAACACAGCTCTAGTAGAAAAGAAAATGTTTCTTTAGGTATTTAATAAATCAAAGAGGTAATGGGGAAACAGAACATAGAATTGTATCAAGATTACAAAGTTTTTTAGCTACACTACATTTTTAAAGTGTCATTTATTCCTATGGGTAGCCTTGATAGCAAGGAAACTCCAGGAAAAGGGGGAAAAACAATGTGTTTGAAACAGAGGCAGCTCTCAATTGGATATTTTGAGTGGTTTTTTTCCCATGAGGCACCTGTGGGTCTGTATGGATTAGCAGTGCTTCAGTAGATGCACAATATTATCTCTGGCAGATCAGAGAGATTATTGTATCAGAGCAGTAATACGTAATCTGCTGGTTAGATCATCTGCTGGTAATTCCCTGAGAGCTGGGCCAGGTTACAATAGCTCAGAATCTTGTCCATCTTTTTTTTTTTTTTTTCCTGCTAAATTCTTCTTGAACAGTGAAGAGGTGTTTTTACCTGGCAAAAAAGTAACATTAGATAGTCAGTACTCTCTTTGAGGTCTTAAATAAAATGTAGGAGGTGTGATGTTGGGCATAATCTCCAATGTGTGAAGCAGGTGGCTGGCTTTAAGCAGACAAAATTCCCATGAGATCCATGCTTCCTTGGAATGGATACTGGGTATTCAGACCTGGATGAACCTCTGGGTCTTTAGGGAAAATGCCTAATTTGCCTGTGTTTAATTTTTCCCAATCAACATTGAAGTGCTCACAAGGACTTAAATGACATTCCAGAACACTCTTATGTTAAGCCCAAATTTCTGTTGTCACACGAAACCTGTTGAGAGACATGCATAAGAGGTTAAAAAGATAAATTTTTTTTTGATTGATTCTTCCTAGGTAATTGTTTTTCATCGTACTATCATAACCTGTGGGCCTTTTTTTTTATTTTTCTTTTTTTTTTAAATAAAGTCACATGACTCCAGAAATAGGAATTGTATAGAAAAGGCCTTGTTCTTATAAAAGTATCCAGAATTCTCCCCAAGAAAAATGCTAAATCTTACATCCATGCAGGACTGTCTGGCTGGGGACTGGAGATCAGAGTTGCAGAGAGTACTTGGAGTAGTTAGGTCAGAGATAAATGAGACACCAATAGAGTTAGGAAGAAATGCTGAAATTGAGCTCATATAAGAGCCCTGCTTAAGAAGGGGAAATCAGATAAAGCCTTTTCACTTGGTTCTCTCTAGGAAGGCTATTCTGGGTCTGTGTAGATACCACAGACCATGGAAAGTGTGATTTTTTATTGTCTTGTCCCTGGAGGATGCTTTGGTGTAGCATCAGAAACACAGCTCTGAGGAAGAGAAACAGGCTCAGTGAAAGGACTTTAAGGTGAAACTGGAATACAGTGCAGTGGCATTATGGAGTTCCTCATCTTTTCCATCTGCTGAGAAAGTTCAGCAAGGTTTCAAGTGATCTAAATTTTAAGCACCTGTAAGCACCTGGTGTTCCCTTACTTCCTTTATTTTCTGGTCTGTGGCACCTTGCTTTGGTTCTGGGAATGTTTGAACAAGCATCCCATATAGGTTGAGGTTGTGAACTGAGAATTCTGCGCGTGTCCCTCATTCCCCTGGTAAGGAAATGCAGCCTGTGGAGGGCAAAGCTGTGCCATGGGGACACTGACACGTGCCTTGCACTGCTGTCCCGCTGGGATGAGGGACACTGGCTCAGACTGAATGCTGGAATCTGGGTCTCCACTGGCAGCTAGCAAGAAAGGATCTAAGACTGGTGCAGAGTGTTATTCCAGGAATTTTATGGGTAGAGGGAGTAGTGTCTTTCAGAAAATATAATTTTCTTAAGGTGGGGTACTCAGGTGAGAACCTTTCTACCTGAGACCTCTATGCCTGCCTGTCCCCTGTGGAAAAGTGTGACAGGGAATGTCTATCATGGGGCATAATGAGGCCAGATCTGCAAGTGAGTGTCTTTGGTATCCCAGTGGTGTGATTATCTCTTGGTAACTACATCCCTGGCATACTCTTACAGGTTCAATAAACAATTGTTTATTTTGTTAAGAGAAAGGATAGATTCAGCAGTTTAATGGTGATCAGTACATCCAGATAAGACATACAGTTCACATGGATTATAAAACTGCTTTGATAAAGGAAGAATGCTGATAAAACTAACAGGTAAATTAATCTTGGTTAACCCACAATCCCAGAATGGAGGAGGGTGGTCAATTATAGCAAAAAGCCTGAAACATCTCCCAACATATTGATTCAAACAGCTAGAGAGATGGCAGCCTGCATACTAACAAACCTAAGCAAATAAAATCCGCTGTTGTTACATAGATCAGCACTGAACAGCAGTGCTGACACTCTTATAAACAGCTTCCATAGCCAAGTGGTGCAGCTGTTCTTACCTCACTGGAAATTAGGACCAGATGGGATTTATAGAACTCCTGAACTTCACCATCAGCTAAGAAAGTTCAGAGAGAGGTTTCAGGACGCATAAACATTCAGCTTGGCGTGTATATGTTTGTTTTAGTGTATTTCTCTTTTCTAAAACAGTAGGAAGTTTGAGGACACAAGGAAACTCAGAAGTGCACCTGTTTCACCTTTTTTTTTATGCTGTTACACTGGTTTAACATCGTTGTGGTCATACTGTGAGTCAGTCTCAAGATCTGCTAGAGTGTTTCTTCATCCTTTATAACGTCAGCATCCAAAGTTCGATATTTCTAATTTATTTTTGTTTCCTGTTAAGAAAGGCTTACCACAGCTGACAGGAGAAAAACCCCCAACACTACCAGTATACTTAGTGGCAGTATTTGTGTACATGTCCTCCCATGTTTTGATTTGAGAGATATGCATGGAAAGGTGCGTGGGTGTCGGCAGTTCTTTGCTGACTTGATTTCTCTTATTTATCATACCCAGCTGGGGCTTTCCAGGAGCCAGGGCCCAGAGCATACAGCATCATGACTTGATGGTGCAATTTAACATATGGTTCCTGTTTGTTTTTAAATCTTTTCCTGCATCATCTAGAGATACAGCAGAAGCATCCCCTTTGTGGGAGGAACATCTCTAATTTCCACATGCTGCTTGTTCCTGTGCTGTTGAGAACTCCAACCTGCTTAAATGCAGAGATTGTCTTAAGCTCTTTCTCCAGAGCTCTTAAGATCCTTCTCTTTCTCTTTTTAGTGTTCACATAGACAGATTTTGTAATCTTTCCAGCTGTAAATACAGATTTTTGGAATGTATGGTTACTACAGAAATACACTTTTGGTCCATCTCCTCACAGTGTTTAAATTCCTTGGTGTGCCTAGCCTGTGATTTAGGACATACTCTTTCAGAATGATCAGAAGCATGAAGACATAGAATAATTGCCTCAAATTACATTGGAAATTTGAAACAGAGGAAGGACTTGAACGTCAATCTTTTCACTCACTGAATAAAGAATAAATGAGTATTTCTTTATTATCTGTGTTATATCAATTCCTTGTGAGCTGCTGTAATACTTTGTCACTTGCTGCTATTAAATACAATTAATTCATGTTGAGGAAGTTGCAATAAATCTCCACTTGTCATGTGTTCTTTATTACAGGAATCAAACATTTTAAGCCCAATACAGGATGGGACCAAAAAACCCCAGATAGACAGCATTAAAAGCAATAACTACAATATTGTTAAGGAGGTTAGTATATTTGCCAAGAAACTTGCTTGACATACCTGTTTAATTAGTAGATTTAGTAATTATTTTGAAATAAAGTGTCTTTGTTTGGTTTTGTGTGACATGACTGGTTTCTTTTCTTGGTTGCATGGTTATTTATTTGGTTTGTTGTTTTTTAATTTATAGATTTTGATTCGACTCAGCAAACTTTGTGTTCAGAATAAAAAATGTCGGAATCAACAGCAGCGTTTACTGAAAAATATGGGCGCCCACTTGGTGGTCTTGGACCTTCTGCAGATCCCATATGAAAAGGTTATTTTCCTAATTTTAGTGGTAGAGAACACAAACTCGAGGAAGGGAAAGGCTTTGGCAGGCTCAATAATCAATGGAAATATTTTTTTAAATCTGAATTGTCAGCTGTGGTACAAACATGAAATGATGATGTAATTTTCTACCTTCAGAATAGTGAGTTTGGGCTCAGTTTTAAGTACAGCTGCCTGTACAGTTTTATTTAAAATTTAATATTTACTGCCTTGGATACTTAGATGTCACAGTGCTGTCATTCCTGTACCCATTCCTGAAGTAGGCAAACCTTAGGACCAAAAGCAGATAAAATCTGAAACAACTTCTTTGTTTTTGTGGTGGACATCTCTAACCTAGTTCCATGTACCTTTTTTTTCATAAGATACAGTTATTTGGTACTGATTTGGTGGCATGCAAATCAATGAACTGGACAGGCTTTGAAAGAGCACATCTTTCTAGATTTTCTAGGAATCACTGAGAGGAAGTAAAACCTTTGCTGGGCTGTTTTTCTGTGTGTTATATTACAGACACAGGGTTCAGCTGCCGTCAGTAAAATAGTGCTTGTCCATACAGGTGGTTCATCAAATCATACTTAGGATGCTACATGAGAGGAATATAAAATGGGGATGAAACTAGAGATATATTTGTGTGGGAGTATGTGTATGAACACATACATCTGTTTCTGTATGTAGCTATAGAAAAACCAAATGTTTGCCAAAGCTTAAAACTAATGCAGAGTGACATTTTTGGTTTATTTTGCCTTTTTTTTTTTTTTTTTTTTTTTTTTTAATCAAGCAACTTAGCACTTTTTTTAGACTAGGAAACTATAACCACAAAAGAGGAACTCTTACCTTGACTTTATGCTCCTATCTGTGGTTCCCTATGGTTTGATTCAGAGTAAGGTACAGCTGCTAATGGACTCCAAAGAAAACTACGTCAGTTACTTTTGCCAGAGGGAGAAATCCTGCCCTATAAAGGCTCAGGAGAATTGGTTTATTCCTGGCTGAATTGATGTTGTGTGATTTTAACAAGTATGTTTAGGTATACCCAGCTGATTCTGTTTGTCCTTACTTCCTGCAGAGTGATGAAAAGATGAATGAAGTTATGAATCTAGCCCACACTTTTCTTCAGAATTTCTGTCGAGGAAATCCTCAGAATCAAGTTCTCCTCCACAAAAATCTCAACTTGTTCTTAACTCCAGGGGTAAGTGTTTCATTTGAAATAGAATATGATAATTGGAATTAAATTCGGGTTTGCTGAAACATCCCAGTGCTAAATAAATAATTTCACTAAATTATGCCTCCCCTCTCCTCTCTCATTTCCCTTAGTGCTGCTTTTTATGTAATTTGCTTTAATGTTACCATTTTAAAAGTGGAAAACAAAAACCAAGGAACCTGTGGGGTTTACAGGGGTTTACATAAATGTGTCACATCCTTGTCTTGAACTTGACTCTGATATTATTCATCCCGACTCACTCACTGATGGACAGTAAAGTCAAGGTAGAAGATACTGTGACTGCTGTCATAAACCTTGTGTAACAACAGAATCAGACTCATATGTTTTTTGTTGATGATGCTCCCATTTGTTTCAAGTAATCTAATGTCTGATCTTCTATAGAATGACACTTGCTCAGTGGATCTACTGAGCAAAACATGCTTTTATTAGAAGGAATTGTGAGTATGAGGATTGCAGACCCAGGCCTGTGCATTTTAGGAACATTTGTTCAATTGTTCTTTATTTATGCTCTTTTGTGACATTAGTGAGCAGCTCTGAGCCAGGGCCTGGATTCCATCACATCCAATGCTGACACTTGGGTGTAAAGTGTGGAGCCAGCTTGCAGTTGTATTTCTTTTGAAGCTGATTTCCTGAACATCCATCGCAGTTATTGTGCTTTTGTGCCCATTTTGAAGCAAACTTGATATGGATTCCTATCAGATGACACTAAACAGACATGTATACTTTAGGAGCACCTGGCCCTCAGGAGCCTTTAGTCCAAGGGACCAACCTAGAGCACAAGCCCAAGAATGCACACAGTCTGGGTGCTGTGTCCTCAGCAGAATCCCTTCTTGCTCCAGGTCTGTTCCTTTAGTTCCATGCTGCTCACGGATACACAGCCCTAGACTCCCTCTGGAGTTAATGTAGAAAGCGACATGCTCTTTGAGACCATCAGGCTGTTTGTGCAGGGATTTGCCTGCTGGAAATGCCTCCTCTGTGAGCCCCAGAGAGAGCCCAGAGCAGCTCATCATCTCATCTGGTGGCCTCTTTGCAAAGTTTGATGGTGAGTGGGGCCAGGTTGGTCTCAGGTATCTCATACTCCAAAGCCCCTGCAGAGTGCTCTGGCAGTGTAGTGTGTGTGTTTGTGTGTTCACCTTCCACATGGGCACAGGATTGGTTAATGCCCACTTTAGGACTGTTTGTGCTCATAGGGAAGTGTGGAGAAATCCCCTTAAAACTGGAAGCTGGACCCTGAGATCATTTAAAAGGATTTCTCCAGTTTCCCTTTCCCAGTGAGCCTTCCTCTACTCGAGAATCCCATGCCTCTCTCAATCTCAAAGCAGATCTGCTGTGCTCATGAGGCTGTTTTTGATCTGTTCAGCTCCTGGAAGCTGAGACCATGAGGCACATCTTCATGAATAATTACCTCCTGTGCAACGAGATCAGCGAGAGGGTGGTGCAGCACTTCGTGCACTGCATCGAGACCCACGGCCGGCACGTGGAGTACCTGCGATTCCTGCAGACCATCGTGAAAGCAGATGGCAAATACGTGAAAAAGTGCCAGGACATGGTAATGACAGAGGTAAGCAAAGACTTCACATGTTAATCACTTGAGTATTTTGAGGCTGTTTTTCCTGCTCTTGATACAAGTGAGATATAATGGCATCCTCGCTTTAGAATTTTAAGCGGCGTCACAAATAATGAATATTTTAGCAGACATTTTGGGGAGTTTGATCTAATTTTGTAAGGCCATCTGTATAACTACTAGAAAGAAAACATGAGTGTTAGCATGGTGATACAGAGATGTCTATTTGTAGATGATGTAGCATGGAAATCTCAGAGTTACATAAACCTTCATTTTCCTGTAATGTAATTTAGGATAACTTTTATCCACTCTTGTAGAATGGGTTTGCCATACAAGAGGCTCTTACCTTTATGGATTTGTCTAAATAGTGCTATAAACCATTTTTTTTAGCATGTAGCAATTCTAAATCCTAGCTTCTGCCTTTTTTTTGGTTTTGTTTTGTTTTCTATCAGAGCATTTCTGTGAGGGTCAGTAGAGCTGCTCTAGCTTTACCTGGCTGGATCCAGTGAATTCAACCAAGTGGTTTGTGGGAAAATCTTTATGCCAATAAATATCCTAAGAAAATACCTAATTGACTTTCTCTACAATTAGGATTTGATATATTGTGAGCATGATAAATGAAGTCTTCAACTTGCAGACACTTGTGCATTTAACTGTAATTATGCTAACAGTTCCTTGAGATCAGTAAGTGGGTAACGCTGAATATGGTGAAAAGTCGTGGTTGGATTAGAGTACAAGGAACATTTTTATTTGCTTTACAAAGTGTTTTTTTTTTTTTTTTTTTTTTTTTTTGGCTTGGTTTGGTTTTTTTAAGAGGTGTCTACAAAGAAATCAGTTTTTTGTGGTATGAACAAAATTAAATCCCACTGAAATTTTATTCCACAGCAATAAGAGGAAAACTTCTAATTAAGAAAATAAAGCTTCTGCCTACATGGATAACCTTTAATGAAATTCACCTCAACCTTTTCAATTTGATGGAAGTATTTTAACATGCAATATCAATTACAAGCCTTTGATTTACATAATTCAAACAGTTCTTGTGCCTTTGTGGTTTTAGATTTTTCTGCTTCCACTGAAGGCTCTTGTTGAGGTGTTTTTATTCATCAAACAAAATTTTCAGATTTTTCTCAATTGCAATATATTTTGCTATTGACCTGTAGCAGCACAAAGATAAACTGTCATATTACATTTTCAAGCTGATTCCGTGACGAAAGCAGAAATGAACTTGGATATGGCACTCACATCACAAATCCTGCAGGAATTTTCTGGGGGGAGGGAGCAACCCTGTTTTGATGAAATAGGGTAAGATAATGATCTTTTTTTCAAAAAGTAGGAAATTACAGGTAAGTAACTATGATTTCTTAGAAAAGGATGCCAATTGTGAAACTTGAATAGCACTTGAATGGCAATCCACTCTAAAAGAAACAAATGGTTGGAGCTTGCCACCGAGTTGGGACAGTTTGTCTGTAGACAACTGAGATGTATTTTGTGGCCTGAAACAAGTGCTGTAGCTTTTCCTGTACCTCCAGATGGGGCACATAAACAATTTACCACAAAACAAGATAGAATATGACTGTACAGCTTGCCTCAGCTCCTCCTGTGTTTTCTTTCACCCACAGGAAGTATATTGTAGCTTATTCCTGTTTACTGGGAGTGAGGGATAATCCTCATATTTATGTTCTAGAAAGTGCATGCAGATGAAGGAGCAGCATGGCAAGAGAACACTGTTGTAAAATCCATTGGACATCCCCAATCTGGCTGTTTCCCATGGTCTCCATGTCTGAAATGATGTCTACCAACCTGAAAGGTTCCTTTGTCTCATTACAAGCAGGCTTTGAGGTTCCTGGAAGAACCTTGCCTGTCAGTGCAAACACTATTACAGCAGGGAAAGCAGAATTTACTTTGGGCCAGATCAATGTGGCAGCAGAGTTTTCTATTATCTGTAGTATTCTGGAGTAATATTTTGCACAGTATCAACAGCTGCTTCAATACTGGACAGCATTCATTGTATTACCATAGAATTCTAAACTTGCTGAAAATATACTTTAATGGCAGAAAATGCTGCTGGGTTGTTTTGTCCTAAGCTCTCATCCCTTTAAATTATTTTTTTCTGTACTGTGGATTGTCTGAAAAGTCGTGGGTATAGAAATACTGTAGAAACCCAAAGATAAATGAGAAATAGGAATTGCACGAGAGACCGAAATCACAATTCACTCCAGCCAAATGTCAAAGTAAAAATAAGCAAGAAACAGGGTAAGCACAAACAGAAATGCTGTGAATTCAAAATTTGAAGTGTTGAAACCCTGCAAAGGGTAATGAAATGCTTCTTGACTTTTCATTCTGGGAGACTAATGTTAATTCCTTTTCTTGCTTCTTTCCCATTTCTCAGCAGCACCAGCAACCTTTATGACTACACTTGAATTGAGTAAACTGGGATTTCATGTCACATATGGACTGGAATAAGTCAAGTGCCTAATTCAGAAAATAAGTGTGATTTTTGAGCTGCCAGGGTGTGTTCTGTACTAGGAGGGGTTTCTGGGAGCTTATTTCACCCACACTGAGAGTGGATTGTGCTTCAAAGGACAGTGATGGAGAGAAGATTCCAAACTGGGTTAGAGCAAAGCTCTTCAGTGAGATGTGCTGAGATGGGGCTGCCAGCCTCCAGCACTGCTCTGAATCCTCTTGAGATGAGCTGAGCACTTGTAGCAGAATCAAACATGTATCACATACACCAGTTTTCTGCTAATGAAAGTGCTGACATGACACAGACAAAGTAATGACCCATCATCTGCCTAATTTGCACAGGGTGGGAAGAATCTCCCTTTGTTTCTAATATTGAGCAAGGGTGGGGAAAAGCTGGGTTCAATTCCAGGTGAGCCACAGGCTTTTTGTGTGAGGCAGCGTGGAAGATTTCATCTCACTGCATCTCAAGTGCTCATCTATGAAACAGGGATAATAATGCATCCTGGCCTCCTAGCAGGAGGTGAGGATAATTAATTAACTTCACACAAACATTGACTTGGTAGGAATAATAAGGATGGCATGCTGTCTTAGGTAAAGACAGAGCTACACTGAAATTAAACCTCAAATTCACCTTGCATTAGTGCATTCCTTGATGAGTTATTCCAGGTTTGCACTTATGTTGATAAGAGCAGAAGTTTGCCTTGGATTTTGTTCTGACATGTTAATTTGGCAAACCACATCAGAGTAAATTTTGTTTCGTTTGGATTTTAGCTAGAGAATCTTTGCCTACTTAGAGATAAAATAAGAAATTAAGAAAATAATAGAATCATTTAGGTTGGAAAAGACCTTTAAAATCATCAAATCCAAAATGATTGCAGTGCAGGATGCTCAGAGCCTTGTGCTCTCTTCCTCAGCTGATAAATGGTGGTGAAGATGTGCTGATATTCTACAACGACAGAGCATCCTTCCCGGTGCTGCTCCAGATGATGTGTTCGGAGCGAGACCGAGCCGACGAGAGCGGGCCCTTGGCCTATCACATCACTCTGGTGGAGCTGCTGGCTGCCTGCACAGAGGGCAAGAATGTGTACACAGAGATCAAGTGCAATTCACTGCTGCCCCTGGATGATATTGTGAGGGTAGTGACCCATGATGACTGCATCCCTGAGGTACGATTCACGGAAGCAGACTTAGCATTTTTAGAAATGCAGACCAACAAGTTGAATATTTGCACAGGGAATAGGCTGGAAATGGGTGGTGCTTCTTAAGGTGAATAAGTGAGAAAAGATAGACAATATTTACTCCACAGAAAATTCCTTGTTCTTAATGCATTGTTTCTCAGCTTTTCAGACACTGTGTTTTGTGTTGGGTTTGTCCAGCCACTGTCAGAGTTTAATGCTCCTGTAACTTCTGTCTGAAACTGTGAAGACCCAGCTGAATGTTGGGTTAAGCCAGTGTTTTGCCACTGCCTGAATTTCTTGGAAATGATGGTTAAAATTCTGTCCATGCTGAAGTCAGTGGGAATTTGGGTGAAGCCTCATTTTATTAAACTCAATTGCAATCTTGCAAATGTTTTTATTTGCTGCAGATGAAGACACAATTCTGCATGTGTCATGCTAAAGTAGGACTGTGATATTACCTGGTGGAAAAATGGGTCTCAAAGCAACAGAACTGGGGCCTGCAGGAATTAAAACTCCCTCTGTGCCATGAAAATTGCCCTTGTGATCAAATGATCTTATTGCTAAAAAGAAATATGTTTGCTTTGCTCAAAAGTTCCCCTTAACATTAATTTCAACAGATGGTAATTAGAAAAAAAATCCCAAACAAAAGAAACCTTAAGGTCTGATCTGAGTTTTGTCTTCACTGCATTAAACATATGGAAATATCTCATCTCCCTTGACCGTGATAAGAAATTTTCAGTGCATTTGCATATGTTTATATTTAATCTATACATTTTGGGCACTGCATATCCATTTTTATGCTGTGTACATACAGACTTGTCGTGCCAGAAATGAGTCCTGGCATGTCCTTCTCCTAAGCCTTGTGCTGCCATTGCTGTAGTCTCAACCTTTCTCTAGCCTTTAGATCCTAAATTCAAGTGCTGCACTAGGATTGTGGAAATACAGGGACTTAGTCCCAGCTCTGCAAAAGACTTTTTATTTTATATTTGGCATGCTTGTCACAAGGCTTCCACCTACTACAGTCAACTGGGAAGTGCAGGAGTGTTCTGCATTTTGACAGCCTCTGGCTTGGAGCCAGGCCTTGCTGGTCTTCATATCAGTTAAATACCAGAATCATTACTGGTTTGTCTTGTGGGGGTTTTGTCATTAGAGTAAGAATGTTTGCAAAATCTTTTCATTTTTCTTCCTGTGGTCTTTCAGTAAACACATTAAGGCATGTGTTGCCCTGCTTCTCCCTAAATCTTCAGAACCTAACATGTAAACATGTGCATTATTACAGTTATGAATGTTTGTTAGTACTGGAAGGTTCATCTTTATTGTTCAGTATTTTTGCAGATAGAAAACATTGAGTTAATTGTTTTTACTGTTTCATTTCATTGTGATTGTGTTTTTGCTGTTCCTGCAGGTGAAAATTGCTTATGTTAATTTTGTTAACCACTGTTATGTGGACACTGAAGTGGAAATGAAAGAAATCTATGCCAGTAACCATATCTGGAAACTTTTTGAGAACTTCCTTGTTGATATGGCAAGGGTAAGCTTCACCAGGTGTTAAATATTATGGAGTGGTCATAGGTGACAACGGAAATGGCAGTAATGGGGTTTTTTGGTCAACTTTTATTTTGTTAACTATTTTTATTCAAAATTGACAATAGGATAAGTGTGGTTAGGTGCTTTGTTTGTTTAACAAATAGTCATGTCTATGATCTTTATCATAATTTAACCTGCTAATTACTAGTAGCCTTTTCTTTCTAAAAGGGCATCTTGGAAACCCATGCCTTTTTCTTGTCTTGCAGAGAAATAAATTGGGTGTGTGTACATGGCTGAGAGCCTGTGTACATATTATGAGAAATGTGCATTACATGTCATTATGGTGGTGACTAAAAAAACCCACATCTGTAATCTCTTCTTTTATTCTGTTACGGTGAGGATCAGGGATCAAGACCTTCTCTGGCTTGTGTTCCTTCTTTAGTCTCTATTTTTGTCTTTCATTCTGTCACTGCATTCTCATTGCCAGTGTAAAAGACAGGTGTAGAAGTGTTGGTCCTTCAGAATACTAATTCAAGCAGAAACTACAGCTGCAAGGTGACGGGGCAGAGTCAGTACCACAGGCCTTCCATTCCTGTGGTCCTCAGGGAGCCTCATGGTGTCAGTAGCTGCTGAATTAAATTCTAAGTTACAAGTTGAATTCAGCTTCCTTTCCCAGGGATTTTGAAGGCAGAAAACAAGAGCAATCTTATGACTTCCACAGCAATTAAATACAGTAGTAGAGCCATGAGGGGAAGCTAGTGTCATGTAATGATTATAGCCTGCACTACATATCCTTTACTAGGATGTTAATGCTTCTTGTAATCATAAATAATTACAATATTAATGACAAACAGTTGTGTTGCACTTTCTGCTCAAGAAGGAGAGCCATGAGTGTGGCAGGCACATTCTTCTCTCTCTCAGGATTTTTTCATAGAGGAGCACAGAGAGAAGAAAGAGAAAACAATTTCTATTTCTGCTCCTTTTTTTCCCCATGTGGAATGTGTTTGGAGAATTGTTTCCTGGGGTGGTTGCTTGATTGGATTCAGGGTGAGGATTGTTTGAGCCTGATGGCAAATCCAGCCCACCTGGGGCTGGACTCTGGTGAGAGGGTCACGAGTTGTGAGGTAGTTAGAAAAGTAGGTATGTAGTTTTAGTATCTCCTTTAAATATTAATGTATTATAGTATAATTATGATAAAGAAATCATTCAGCCTTCTGAACTGGTGTCAGACATCATCACTTCTTCCCACTGGGTTCACTTGCATTTACAATACGTGAGTTTTTTTCTTTTTCCCAGTCCATGGTCCATTGGATTTTATAATATTTAGGTTCCCACTCCTTGCATTCTTCATTTCATTGAAATTAGGAGAAAAGGTAAAGAATCTTAGTTTGGTCCTGCAGCAGACAATGACCCTAAAGTAATAGTGTGCCACAAAATTATTCTTGTGAGGCCTATTAGAAGAAAATAGGATGAATTTTGGTTAAAAGAAGAAGGAATGCAAAGACTTAAGCTCTACAATAGTTACTGGGACCTGTTAATTTTTTCTGTGAAACAGAAACCTTATACCTTTTTTTTTTTTTTTTTTTTGGGGGGGGGGGTATTTTGTTTTGGTTTTGTTCTGGTGTATTTTTTTTAAACCTTTATATTTTCTGGGGGCAGGTTAAGGCAGGGATGTTTGTGCTCTCTTATTTTTGTGGTAGCCATTTTCAGTAGTAATTAGTCCTCTACAAACCCTGTTTTCTTGCTGCTTTTTCTCTGTGGTTGTGTTACACAGTGAAAGCCCTCCTGGACAAAAACAACCTGGGTTGAAAATTAAGATGCGAAACATCCTTGGAGGAGGGTTCTGACTTTTAACCTTATTGGTTTTATCTCAAGAAGTATTTTCTTCTATTTAATTCCCTTTCTGGGCTGCCCTTTCTTGACATGTCCTGACCCTGACTTTCCAAATAGACTATCCCTCCTCCCTCCCTCGAACGTGGCCAATTTTCTGTGCCCCTGGGCTAGAAGCAGACAAATAGAAAGAAAGCTCTGAGCAGGTTTCCTCTCGTGAGCCTGGAGACAAACTGCACTGTGCTAAATGCTGGGGGCTTGTCCTGATGCTGGTGACCACCGACCCTGTTTTCATACACCCCTCTCCTAAGAGAAATTAGACCCCAGGTCTTCAGAGGCGAAGAGGGAAAATTCTGCATTTTGTGTGTGGGTGCTGTTGGCAAAAATGCAAGTTTATTCGGCTCTTCTGCAAGCGTGTCAGAAGTGCTCTGGCCTGTCCTACTCTTCAGCCATGGATAGCTGTATTTTCCAGGTTATGGAGTGTATTTGTTCAGATTTGGTGCTCTGGGGCCCTGACAGAGCCCAAGTGTTATAAATACATCAGTGTTCTGTAGCTATCAGGACAGTTAGAATGCTGTCAGCCTCATGAAAGATGTTACAATAGCTTTCAAAGCATTTAGAAAAAGAGCCCTTTGATCCTCTGTGTTCCAGTGAGCTAAAAGGGATGCTTTTGCATGGGGGAAGGGGAAATGCTTTTCTTTTAGCTGCTACAAATGCCTGTCAGTGGGTGAGTTTGTGAGCTTTGAGTCTGTTATCGGAGAGCACCAAGGTGAAAGACAGAGAGTGTTATCCTCAGGTTGAATTCCTTCTGTTTTAGATATATATTAAAAAAAAAAAAAAGAGTAACTGATTTTTAAAATCTGTTTCTGGATTGAGGAAGGAAATATTTAGTCCCCAGCTGTCATTTTCCTTTCAACAACATGATACATTGCAAAGCAGGCACGAGGCGGATCCGTGTATAAACTGGGTTTGCCAAAAGCTGTCGCGCTTTCAAAGGCACCCTGCTTCTGCAGCTTCTGCCAACCTACTTTCTGCTGGGTGTGACTTACAGCCTTGTGCTGAGCAAAGTGGGTGCTGCTGAAGGAAAGGCTTCCCTTTCCTGTGTGTGGCCCAGCCTGTGTAAGTCAGCAGCTGTAGTCTGAGAAGGATTAAAGACAAGAGCCGAGGATCTGACAGTTGTAAAGTCATCCTGGCTTTCTCCGCAGAATTTTTGAAGTATTATTCATGTGAGTTTTGGTTCCAAAGCCTCTTAAGGGGTTTTTAAACACTGCTTTCTCAATCCTCATCTCCATTCCATGCATTTCGGGTTTTTGGTTTTTTCTTCCACGGAGGAAGATCTTTCAGTTCCCAAAGGGCAGAGGGATAAGAACAAATGAGAGGATTTCCAAATTCCTTCTGTGCTGGGAATTTTTCAGACCAGTGTTTGAGCAGAGCATCATTCCCACATATGGCTCTGCTTTTCAGGCAGCTGAAGGGGAAAGCTTAAAAGTGTTCTGGAATTTAGTTCTGGTGATTTCTGCATTCACTGTGCTAGCACTGCACATCTCCCTATCTTCCTATAGGGATTGCAAGTGTTAATCTCAGAGCTAGTGGTTCCAGCCAAAATTGGCATGCAGATTAATTAAAAGCAAAGGAAATTCCAGAGATTTTTAGTTCTATGATCTCTTAAAAAAAAAAAAAAATTAAACAAGTTTTGATTATTAACTGAATCATTTACCTTCATGAGAACTGGGGGAGGTGGTGCTGTCACACTTTTCCCAAAACTGAAGGGCTGATGAGTTTGCTATTTCATTAGACACTGTTGCTTCTCTGACCAAAATCTTTCTTGAGGTGATAAAAAAAGCACTCTGTGGAGGCATGACTGATTTATCTGACACATTTTAGATAAGCAGACAAGCAAACTCAAGATGCCTCATTTGTCTAGGTCTGAAGTTATCTTTGGTTATTCCTCTGCCTACTGCATGACAATGTTTGTGTGCCAGACCCAAGGTGCTTCTGTGTTCCCCTGAGCTCTATCATACCCTGAACACAGGTGCTTTTGGATGTCATGTCAGTAAACTTCCTTAAAACATTCCTGGTGAAATTGCTGTCTTGGAGTGACAGTGGCAGTGTGTAATTAGAGAGAATCTTTGCCCTGTGTGAGATCAGGTGCTGTGGATTATCTCTCTGCTTCTGTCACCAACTTTTCTCTGTAACTTTAAGCAATTCAAACAGCTTCTCTGGACTCCCCATCCCTGAAGAGATGTAATGGTAAGTGTGTGCCACTCACTTTGTGCCCAAACACAAAGGTTTGGGGTTATGTGTTAAATGCACAGATGGCAATGAAAAGGCTTTTCTGGAGTTTCTGTATACAAAATAAATTCTGCTTTTGCATAGGCTCCCTAGAACATTGCAGTCATCTCTGGCTTGCATAGGTGAAAGAGAAAACAACTTGTTAAACATGACTACAACTGCTTATTTAAAGGCTGTTGAACTGGTAGTATGACTACAGACTGTACTACTTATTTGTCCAGTCTTGCCTTTGTCACTGGTTCTGGCTCTCTGTAGACTTCTTTCAGTACTGTGTACACTGACATGTGCAAAGTCAACATGACTCTGTATAGATGTTCAAAAGTGTTGAAGAGAAATAAAGGAAATACTGAAGGATGTAATCCACACCAGTAATTTTTCCCTTTAAGTGTGACATCTTTACGCAGCAACAAACTTTAAGTGTTGTACCAAAGGGAGTCTTCAGGAACCTTTTGTACAAATCTTTTCACTCCCTTCCCACCATTCAATCATCCTTCTGTGCTCCAGAGTTGTCCTGGTATCATCCATTCCCTTCTTTCATTGTTTTAGCTTGGCTTCTGTATTTTCCCCATGTGGCTTCCCAAAGAAATGCTGGCTCTCTTCCAGTACCATCCTAAAGCCTGTTGGTATTGAGCATGCTGTTTTCCTTCCCTCATTTCAAATATTTTTCCTGCAAATGAACTTCACCTTTTCCACCCAGTTGTGGTGATTAATTGTTGAGAGAAGCTAAATGTTGTATGAAATCTTTCTAACCTGAGTCGTTTATGTCTCATCTGTCTCTGAAGCATCTTCCAACCAGCCCTGCAATGGGAGGAAAGGTCCATTTTCTTCTTGAATCTGTCTGAATGTGTAAGTGACATGCAGCGTGCTGATTTAGGGGGCTCTTTTCTTCATGGTGTGGGAAAGAAGAGGCAGGCAGCCAGAAGGAGCTAGTTCAGAAGAGAAGGCTGGACCTCTGAGAAGAAAGATAAGCTGTGACAAATCCAGCTTTAACTCTAAAATAGTTCTCTCTGATAGATACTATATCAAAATCTTTTTACTTTAAGAAGAAATATCAGATGTGTTGTAATAAATACAAAATAATGAAGCTTGCTTATTGGGGAGAACTAAATCTCATTGTTTCCTCCTCCTTCCCTGCAGGTTTGTAACACAACCACAGATCGTAAACACGCAGACACGTCTCTGGAGAAATATGTCACTGAGCCTGTCATGAGCATTGTGAGTGGCTTCTTCAATTCACCATTTTCAGATAACAGCACCAGCCTCCAGGTAAGGAGAAGTGACACAGACAAATCAGTTATTCAGACCATTAATGAGATATCTTCTGCTACCTGCATAGGAATGCTGTCTCTTTTCATCCTCCTTTAATTTCTCTGTCCCCTTTCATGCCACTGACTACCAACTTAATCCCTCTTTAAAACAATTAGTTCTTCATTTTAGTCACTTGCATCCCAAACAGCTCAGTGTGGTCACAGTTACTTCTGGCTCTTGTGAATTCATTGGAGGGAATATCCTTGCAGAAAAATCTTTGTGAGGGAGATGCTGTGTCCTGTGACAGAAGGGACACTCGCCTGAGAATGGGAAAAACTCCTCTGTCCTTATGGTGTGTACTGTGTTTGCTTGATATCAGTGGCAATCTGAGGAAAAATTGCATGATTCGGCCTTCTTAGTGGTGCAGCATTGATTTCTGCTCCTGCCAGACCTAAAGATCAAAGAGAATTTAATGGAGCTATAAGTTGAGTCTACAAGCTAAAATCCCCTTGGTTTATGTTGTGTCAAACCCTGGGGCAGTTGTGAGGAGATCCTTAGAGGTAAAATTCTGTGTTTGTTTTTGTTTTCAGACACACCAGCCTGTTTTTATTCAGCTGCTGCAGTCTGCTTTTAGAATTTACAACTGTACCTGGCCAAACCCAACACAGAAAGCCTCAGTGGAGTCCTGTATCAAGACTTTGGCTGAAGTGGGTAGGTGCCAGGTTTTACTTTGTGTTTTAAGATCAGAGTTGAAATGTAACAGTTTTTAATTTGACTCTACCATTCTCAAATTGTGTCAGTAGTGATTTGAGAAATCCCACTTTCTGAGGGTAAATTCTTCCTTCTTTTATAATCATTCAAACCTGCCCTATCAAATTGGGCTGTCAGGGTGACAGTGGTAGGGCAGAGGAATGAGCTTGCTAAGTGGGTGCTGATTGAGCTTTCAGTCATCAATTTTACTTTGATGGTTGAAACTCTTGGTGATTTTAACTTTTTAATATCAAGCAAGTTATGCTATTAAATCATAACATAAGCAAAGGCATCCCTGTTAAAATAATTTTTTAAAAATTTCTTACCCTACATTAAAAAAAAAATCTTCACCAGAACATAGTTAAGACTTGCAAAAGTTAATTAAGTTAAAATTCTGTAAATATGACTTTAAAGTCTTCTGACATGACAGAATAAAGGATTATTCAATGCAGTTTCCAAAAGTCAGTGTTGCTGGTTGCTTATAGAATAATTTTCTGCTCAGCGTGAATGAAAGCTGAGTAGAGGCAGAGGTACATAGAAACTGGCTAAATTCTATTGTTGATACATTTATTAAAAAAGTATTAATAAATAATGATAAAACAGTATGAGAAGGTCCCAGAGCCACCTGCAGCACTGTAACAATCAACTCCACATTTAGACTCTTGGAATAGCTTTACAGAAGCATCATTTAACATTTTAGCCCAAACATCTCATTAACTTTCTGTGTGACTGTGAATAAGCAGTTACCTAAAAATTTAGCAACCTTCAATTGTTTTATTTGCTGTGCAAATGATTTAATTATGGATCCATCTGGCAAAGGAACTTTGGAAGCTGAAGACATTTTATTTTCTTTATGCTATAGCTACTACAATCTCACATATAAAGCTCCATCTCTACAAATTCTTGTTTGTGTGTTTAACACTTATGCCTTTGCTCTTCTCTGGCATTTCTGGAAATGGTCATCAATAAATTACTTCCTCTGGGAGTCTGGGGAAAGGGGGAGAAATAGGGCAGGTGAGAGTAGGCTTAAGACCAACCATGCCCTCTGTGTGCTTACAGACAGCTCAATATCTTCATTTTTGTAGAGCTGCATCTAAAATCAAATTCTAGCTCAGAGAGGTAGTTGTGTTATCTCATCAAGATGAGGCTGTTTGGAGACATCTGAGCATGGGTTTATTTTCCATTTGGCTATGTGCCCACAGCACACAGCTTATTCTAGCATAAAAAATTCCCAGCAAATTCCAGTGATGTAGAGCTCTGCTTATTGCTGGATGAGTCAGGCCAGGCTCTCACTGGGCTTTCTCTTTTCCCAAGGAGCATGTGCTAAGACAAGAAGAAAAGGCCTCAGGTTGCACCAGGGGAGGTTTAGGTTGGATGTTAGGAAAAATGTCTTCACAGAAAGAGTTGTCAAGCACTGGAACAGGCTGCCCTGGAAAGTGGTTGAGTCATCATACCCAGGAGGTACTTAAAAGCTGTGAAGATGTGGCACTTAAAGACTTGGTGTAGTGGTGGACGTGGCACTGTTAAGATTACTGACCCTCTATCTTGAAGGTCTTTTCCAACCTAAATTATTCTATGATTCTGCCCTGTTGAGACAGCCAAGCTGAACTTCTCCCCACAGCAGCTTGAGAGGCAAACCATGGGTCACCCTAAGGGGATGGCAGATCCAGCTTCAGCCAGGTGTGCCAGCACATGAAAGAAAGGGCTGGTGGGCTTTGGTGGGCAGTCCTCTGTGTGCCCCTTGTTCCTGGGGGCTCCAGGAATGGCTGATGTCTGGAGTCGGCTTCAGATATGTGACTTTGTTCCCTATTTGTGGAACTCAATTTCCTCCACTACAGTCCTTTCTTTCATTCTATTTTCTTTTTTTTTTCTGGAGGTGGTTTAGAGTTGATTTGTTTTGGGTTTTTTTGTTTTTTTAAGGAAGCTCTTGTGCTGTCCTATGGGTCCAATCTCCTTCTTGCTTCTCTGGTTTCCCACCCATGGGCCCCCAGCCATGCCTTGGGCACTCTCAGGTGTGGCAGAGTGGAGCTGAGATGTCAGTGATGGCATCACTCCATGTCCTCCTCTTGGATTTCCCTGCAGCAGGAACTGCCAGGCTGGGAGCCCCTGGGGTGCCACGGACTCAGAGCAGCTCCCTGCAAGCACACAGCATTGCTGACTTCCTTGCCCATATCCTAACAGCTGTTCAGGGATTCAGCACTAACAGCAATATCCAGCATGGTAAAACTGTTGTGTAAGACAACTGCCACCTTTTAATTGAGTGTTTTATTTTGTCAGTGCAGAAGGGAAGAGTAAGGCAAGAGGTGAGGGGGATTTCCCAAAGAGCGCAAGGCAGCTGGAGAAGAAGTGGAAGCAGAGTTTTTGGCAAACACCCCTGTGCAAAATTTGCCTGGCCAGCAGAGATTTTAACCGTGGGTAATACTCTGTGTTTTTAGGCACGGTGGCAAACATGTCTTACCTGCGTTAATGGAGGACTGTTCTTCTCCATGGAAATATTTGGAAAAACTGACCCAGCTGGGGACACCAGGGGCTTTTACAGCCAAGGCCCTTCTGTGACTGCAGTGAGTGCCTGGTGCCTTTCTCTGTCGGCTGTTCCTCTGCCCAAAATAATGCTTCACTTTGAGAAGCCAGAGGCATCTTCCATAATACAAACATAGCAACCTTCTTGTGCCTCTTTTGCTGGCTGCATATGTGGACCCTTTTTTCCCCTCTTCTGACCTTAGAATCTGACAAGTTTAATGTTAGGGCCTTCGTGTTTCCCAGCAAGGCTTAAAAAAAAACCCTAAAAAGACTTTGCCTATATCACAGAGATGGAGTATTGGACACATTTACAGCAGGGACCAAAGACTTCTGAGGGAAAATAAGTGGAGTATAGGTCTGAAAGAACAAACATGATTTTTTTTTTTGTTGTTGTTGGTTGGTATCTTTGCCTTGGATTTACAAATTATCCCAGGTGAAAGAAAGATCATACACAGATTTCCCAAGATATCAAAGATCCATATAATGACACACTTTTAAAATGACACACTTCAAGTTTAAGTAACGTACACTCTGCTCAGTGCTTCCTGGTTTGTTGCTGGCAGGTGGATGCAAGCACTGCCTCAAGAGCTTAAGATCATTACATCTGCTTTCTGATGAGCCCTGTAAGGATGTGCATTACCTTCTAGGTCAACAAAAGGATGTCTTGCAGAAGCTTAGTTTTTATAACCCTGGTACTTCAACTCCACTTTACCACCAGGGAAAAACTGCATAAGCTTTTCAAACCTCACTTGCTTCTTTGTCTCCAGGTGCTTTCCTGCCTCCAGTTCAGCAGGAAGCATAGAGGCTTGCTCCTCTTCTTCGGCAGGTCCCTCTGTGGCTCCAGGAGGTTTGGAACACAGATACCAATGTGCACCAGGTTTCTATTGCCCAGGAAACATTTGGTTGCTTGGCATGAGTAGAAACACTTGTGAAATTGCATATATGTGTGTATGTGTGTGTGTGACTTGTTCTCATGGATTTCTGAAGCAGGTTGTCACACTGGTGAGAATGAACACATACATATATCACTTTGGCCTTTTTTCTTTTATTGCATAGGACTGAGCTTTTTCTTGAAAATACAGTCCAAAAAATGAATAATCAAAACAGCTCCCATCTCCCTGGTAAAATAACAACAACTGAAAAATACTCAGACCTTTGTGAAAACAGGGGAAATAAGACATCCAACCATTTAATTTATTTCAAATTAATTCCTTGTCAAAGGACTTTCAGTTCATGCATTTTATGATCTTTGCAAGGCTGAGAAGGGTGGAGGCCAGTCTCCACCCTCTTTAAACCAGCTACTGTCTTTCTCTAAAGATTGGGGAATATCACCTCTCCTCACAACCAAAGATTGTATATCTTAAATTACATATCCTAAATGTTGAAGCAGGGCCTTTCCCAACCAATCCTTCAGGACTGATGCAAAGAACTGCCTTTGATTCTTAATTAAGGCAACAATTCTCATATCTTGACCTCTGAGCATCAGTTTTCTGTTACAAGGGTAAATTCAGTAGTCTTACACTCTTGTCTCTGTAGCATCCATTAGTGTTCTCCACTATGTTTTAAAAATTTGAATCTTTCCTCTGGTACTGTGTCTATCCCAAGGATATGGTCTGTCTGTGACTGTGCTGTGACCACCAATAATGAAATAATTGGAATTTCCCAGATGAGTAAACAGTGCCAGATAGGAACCTGCCTTCTGTTATACTATGTCTCTTGGCAGACCCTTAAAAAAAAAAAAAAAATCTGTTATCAAGCCAAATCACATTAGTCACTATCAGATTATGTTCTAGGATGTTGTGCAGGAGAAGCAAGAGGAAAATTCTTGTTTCCATCCTACCAAATTTGAGGTGAGCCCTCTAAGATTGCTATTTCCTAAGTTCAAAGCTGGAACAAGTACAGAGGAAACACTGTTGGGGTGGTCAGGGGAAAGGAGAACTGTGTTAGAAGAAGGGAATTCAGACCTCCCCCATGTTTTGCTTAGCAAAACACAGACCTGTGTTGTTGCTCTTTAAATGTACTTAAGAAGAGACTCACAGAGATGTTTAAGCTGAAGGACAGTGCTGACCAAAAACCAACTGGACATAAATTACACTAGGTTGTAAATAACCTAAATAAATTTAGATTGTAAATCAGAGGATTAGAACCCACTTTAGAAGGATGTCCTTGGTCAGTGGGCTGAGAGAAAGTGGAGGGAGGAGAAATGGCAGATAAGCTGCCATCATTTTAAATGGGGCTCAATAAATTTTTCCAAAGATAGTAAAGAGCATGGGTTGTCCGTAACAGAGAGCAGATGGTCTGAAGGTGTATTGAAGTCCTTTCTAGTTGAGTATTTATTCCCTAATTTAAAGTCACCAATACCTCCTTGTACAGAATAAAAAAAAAATTCTCCTCTGGTTATTCTTGACCATGTTTTTATGCCCTCTAAAGCCCTTTAGTTTTCCATGAAAAATTACAAATAGGAAATATTAAACATAAAATCTAGGTCATACTTAGTTGCATCTTTGAAATTATTATGTGTATTTTAATGTCCATATAGATTAATTCTCATATAACATTTTTTTTCAGTCTTGAAAATACATTTCTTTCCCTTCCCATTTGAATTTTAAAATCTTTTTTCCATTTTATGAAAAGCTAAACCTTCATTTTCAATTTTTAGTTCAAATAAAAATAATTATCCTGTTGTTACTTTTTTGACAGCAAGAAGAATACCTTTCAGATGAAGCACATATTTTATTCTATTTTAACTGTTTGTGTTTCCCTAATTGCAAGAAAAATTCAATGATGATCTTTTTACAGGCTGATAAATATTTTAGTGTAGATTTTCTGTTGGAAAGAAACATCCAAGTGAATGGTACAAGATTGGCAGGTTTGTGTCTTGTCTAAACAAAGCTTTTATTTCCCTTAAAAAGTCTTGCTGTCGCTAGCATTAGTGTCTCTCCATCCAAATGCATTTGTTAAGCAGTCAGTAAATGATTAAGGAGCTGGAGGGACTGATTTATGGAGCAAAATTAATTGAACTAAATATGCATCGCCCTGTTACGTGACAACTGGGAAGTGTGGGAGAACATGATAGAGCTGTCTGTGACTACCAAGGGGGTGTAAACTGGGAGCACAGCAAAGGATTCACAGCCAGGTACAGCTGGGGCTTTGTCCTGACCCAGACTGCCCAGCACACTCCTCCTCCAGGGGCTCTCAGGGACCAAATGCCTGCGTGTCCTCCTGAAAACCCACACCAGGGATGCTTCAGGGTTAATTAGCTGTGAAGCCACCACACACTGGTGTGTTTTGTATATACTGCAAAAGCTAATGGAGTGGCATTTCAAATTAGGGAGCAGTAGGTGGAAATAGCGAGAACAGCGAGGTTCCTTATGGCAAGGTACATTATTCTGAAGAATGGGCATCCAAGGAAAATTACAGGCAAGGGCCACTTCCTGGAAATCCTTAGGACTAAACTGGTCCTCAGACACAGGCAGCAGCACAATGAAAGGACAGTACTTCAGGAGGCATTCCTGAAATAGGTCCAAATGCTGTGCTCCTGTGAAGAGAAATACATGCAGGTAATTTAACAAAATAACGCCCAGGCCCATTTCAGCCTCTCTGGGAGCAGCTGGACTGTGCTCCTGGGACTGCACTGGAGCTTACTTGTCAGGAGTGCCTTGAGTTTTACCTGCTTGATTCCCGGCATTCCTGGTGCCCTTTTCTTTTGAGTTTTCAAGTACTATTTCATTGTGTAAGCAGTAAGGGGGAGGAAAGCTGCTGATCACTGGATGCCCACGGACCCATTCAGCACAGGGCAGGGCGTGTTGCTGGGACCTGGCTGAATTCACGGCACTGCGTTTCTTACCACTGCTGTGGGTTGTGTTTGCTTGCTTCTCTTGGCTCCTCTTGGCTCTCTTGCTGAGAGATAATTGGGAGCAGCAGATTGAGAGTTAATAGTTTAAAGGATTTCCCAGAAATTCCATCTCTTCTGACACTGGCCAAATGGTGTTGTGTATTGAGGATGTAATTAGCCCTGAGCACAGCGCCCTAGGTGGGAAATGGGCACTGTATAAGCCTGGGATATGCCCTCCACTGCAGGGCAGAATTTACCTGTGCTGAAGGCATCACAGAATCACACAATATTCTGAGCTGGAAGGGACCCACAAGGATCATTGAGTCCATCCTGGTAAGTATCCTGCTGGATACTTATGTACAGACAGCCATGTAGCTTTTTCCAAATTTCACCAGATGAAAGACAGAATTTTATCCCCTCTTGTCTCCTTTGTCTACCAGCTCTAACCATACTCTGCAAGTTTGAGTGCTGTCCAAAAGTATTTCTAAGTGGAACAAAAATAAACATGCTTTTAAATATTAGATGTTGATACTTTAAGGGAGATTGACACATTTTGAAGAGGAAAGCAGCCTACAACACCTAAATTAAAAATAAATATTTATGTTCACATTTGTTCATCAGCTTTCTAAAATGTAAAAATATGTTTCATGTTGTTTTAAATAATGAAATGTGAAACAAATGAAAGATAAACTTTCTACAAGCTGAAAAGAAATAAGAAGACAAAGGCTTTGTTTATAGCTTAGACTTCAACAGTGCCCTTTGACAACCAATACAAATCTTAATTACAAATGGAATTATACATGTAAGAACTGCTCAAAACAAAGGAGTATTTTTTTTCTCTCTCTGGTTTTCTTTGTGATAGTTTTAATTAGCTCCAACTCTTTGAACAATCATAGTCCTTGACTGTTCCTCAGACACTGATGGAAGTTGTTAACTTCAAATGGCATCTCTAGGACTGCAGAAGTCTGGGTTTTCCTCTGAACAGTGTGCTCCCCATTGCTAAATTTATTCTTCGATATATCAGGATTCTGCATACATTCCACTTAATTGAGAAGTGATCATTGTCCAGTAGCATTCCAGTGATTGACACTGGGACACAATAAATTGGATTAATAGGCTGCAGCACCCTACCAACACTGGCAGAACTTTAATGGACTTCTCTAGTAAAGTGGGTAGCAACAGGGCAAATGTGTTTTGAAAAACAGCCCAGTTGAATTATATGGAAAAACAATAATTAGAAATAATGGCCAGTCATACATGGCATTTTCCACATGTTAATCAGGAACTTGCCTTCAAAACAAATGGAGAGTGGGGAGGAAAAGTCAATTTGTGTCTTCCCAGCTTAACCTAATTGTTTTTTTCAATTCCCTGTGGCCAACCATTTAAAAGAAAGTGCCTACCAGAAATGGAATTAGAAAATTCTCTTCCATCCCAATGGAACAGCCTGATCCATGGGGGAAGCTCCAGTCCTGCATCAGGATCCAACCTTGCAGTGGGAAGGGAAGAGGGTGCCCTGAACCTGTAGGATTCATTAAAGGGAAGAGAGTCCCCATGACAGAGTGCCCTTGCCACAGTCTCTGAGGCTGGGGGTTGAGGTGTCACAGCCAGATTTAGGTTTATAATAAAAGCTGTCATTTCAATCTAGTCCTGAGGGGAAGAGAAAGTTTGTGCCTGGGATCTGTGAGTCACTGTGCTTGGCAGCACTGCAGCCTTCATTCATCAGAGCTGTGTGGTGCCTCTGCCTGCACGTCTTCCCGTGGGGCTGGAGGCATGGGCTGCTTGGGACAGAAGGGCATCTGCTGACTTCACAGCTTCAGGACATAAAGCTGGATGTATTTTAGAGCTAGGAGGAAGAGGTGGAATATTTTTTATGCCTTCTTCCACTGTGGGAAATGTGTTAGTGAGGAATAGTGGGGAAATGCCTCAGAGAAATGTTATGCAGAGCTGCAATTTGAGCTAATTGCTTTTTAAAATTCAGCTTGTTTCAATGAGGAAAACTGAAAAGTTAGTTATTATTGGTCATTTTTACAAATGGGTTAGAACTGCTCCATTTTACTTTTAAGTTTTTATTAAACATAAGCTGTGACACAGCAATTAAGTGAAATGCATGGAATACAGAGCCTAATCACTGGAACACGACCTGATCTTTTGGTGGTATTGATCACAGACTCACAGTATGGTTTGGGTTGAAAAGGACCTTAAACAGCATCCAGCTTCACCCCCTGCCATGGGCAGGGACACCTCCCACTATCCCATCTTGCTCAGAGCTCCATCCAGCCTGGCCTGAAACACTTTCAGGCATGGGGCAAAACTCTTGTTTATTGGTTGAATTTCAGACTGCTCATACTGAGCCAGAGAACTATGTGACTCTGATCTCCAGTGGGATGGAAAGCAGCAGCTAACACGGAGATTTTACTGGGGGAGAGGGCAGGTACCTTCTAAAGTTGCCTTTCAAACTTCCTTTTCAAACAACAGTTCAGGATACAATAGTAGTTTAATAGTGGATGCCCTGCAAGAATTCCTGCAACTCTCTTCTATTTTTTTTTATTCTGATACTCTCTCTATTGTCATTTCATGCCTCTAAAGTCTAAAAAGAAAAAAAAATTGCAATTTTTAGCTATTGGTTAAAATTTTTAAACTATCAGAATATCAGATGCTTATTAACTACTCCATATATTGCAGTGGCATCCAGGCACCATCCAGGAATCCAGGGTTTAGCAACCTTAGCAGTATAGGAAACCCAGAGAGAAGAGGAGGCAGTCTCTTTCAAATTTAATTTGTATGCACTTGGTTCCTCAAGGTCTTCAGAAGAGAAATATACAACAAAGCAACAGAGAATACTTGGGATAAATTGGATAAATGTGCATGTGTCCACTAGAAAAAAAAATTTCAGAATTTGCTTCTGAATAGAGTAAGACTAACTGTTGAAATAACACATACTCCTTTTGTTACTCTTATTAATATCTCTGGATATTTTTCAAGTTAGTAGAAAATTCTGTTAAAAAAAAATCTGTGAAAATACATACTGGAAATGATTCTCATCTCATTTAAAATAGTACAGCTTGCTTTCTTTAACTAGATTATGGCTGATTTCTACCACTTAGGCATGCTTAATTTTAAGGGTTCTTATTTTTTGGATCCTTATTTTTAAAACCTGTTGAAGTGATATCACCCTGCCCCTTAACTTCAATGAGATCAGGCTGTTGCATACCATGATCTCTGTGTGACTTTCAAGTTTTTGCCACTGTAAATGTCTTGGGTTTTTCCTTCCTGTTAAAGCAAAGAACCGTGGGATTGCGATTCCGGTGGATTTGGACAGCCAGGTGAACACCTTGTTCATGAAGAGTCACTCCAACATGGTGCAGCGGGCAGCCATGGGCTGGAGGATGTCAGCCCGCAGTGGACCTCGCTTCAAAGAAGCTCTTGGCGGGCCTGCCTGGGATTACAGGAATATCATAGAGAAACTGCAGGTACAGAAATAGCAAATGGCTTGGGCAGCAGTGGGATTGAAGTTATCTCAGGTGTGCCAGATGTGGAAAACACCAGAGACAGGCCCAGTGCATTTTTAGTGCTGGATGAGAGGAGCCACTGCACTTCTGTGTGGGGGCAGCTGAAGGCTCAGCTCTTCAAGATCAATACTTGGCTCCTATGGAAGTCAGAGAGAGGTAGGAAGTATCACAGAATGAGCTGTGCTGGCAGGGTCCTACGAGGATCATCGAGTCCAACCCTTGGCCCTGCACAAGACAATCCCAAACAATCCCACCCCGTGCCTGAGGTTGTTGTCCAAGCGCTCCTGGAGCTCTGGCAGCCTTGGGGCCGTGACCATTCCCTGGGGAGCCTGTTCAGTGCCTGAGCACCCTCTGGGGGAAGAACCTTTTCCTGATACCCACCCTAACCCTGTCCTGACCCAGCTCCAGCCGTGCCCTCAGCTCCTGTCCCTGGTCACACAGAGCAGAGATCAGAGCTGCCCCTCCTCTTCCCCTCGTGAGGCTGCAGAACTGCTGTGAGCTCTGACCTCAGTCTGCTCTTCTCCAGCTGAACACACCAAGTGCCCTCAGCTGCTCCTCGTGTGGCTTCACCTCCAGGTCCTTCACCATCTCCATATCTCTCCTTTGGACATTTACATTGTGGTGCCCAAAAAGTTGTGTTCTCCTCAAAGTTCTCCACAGAGTAGCATCTCCATTCTGCGTTTTTATGGCGACATGTCCTGTTCTGGCTGCAGAGGACATACTAGAGATTTTAGATCATGTTTGTGTCACTGGAGATTGCCATAAGATGGAGATCACCTTGTGCATGTAGAATCTAAACAGCATCAGGGGTTTATGACCTGATGAAACAGCAGGACCCAGACAAATGGAGGGGCCTAAACACCAAGGACACAACACCTGAGGTGACACACTAGCTGTATGGGGTGAGCATTGTTTTTACAGCCCATCATCATCCCAACTGTTGCCACAGCTTTTGTGAGCACTACTGCAGAGGAGAAATTTGAAAGAGGGTAACAATGGGCACCTTCTCCCCCTTGCCCTGGATGAGGAGTGGTGGGAGAAAGGCTTGAGGTGGCTTTACAGCCACCAGGGCTGCCCAGGGCTCTTGCAGCTGAGCCTCACACTGGGCCAAGCAGTGCACCATGCCGAACTGTGACTCCACAGTGACGTTGTTGTAGTTCTCCTGCAGTTATGGATGTTCTCCTGTCTCCCCCAGGACGTGGTCTCCTCCTTGGAGCAGCAGTTCACACCCATGATGCAGGCTGAGTTCTCAGTGCTGGTTGATGTGCTGCACAGCCCAGAGCTCCTGTTCCCCGAGGGCAGCGATGCCAGAATAAGATGTGGCGCTTTCATGTCCAAGTAAGTGGGGTGCAGAGGGGCCTGTTTGCTTCTTTGGGAAAGATGGCAGGATTTTAACATTTTCAACAGCACTTACCTCTGGTTTTCAGCAGGGACTTAAGAATGCAGGTGACCAAGTTTACTGTTGAAAGCTTTAAAGTGAGGTCTTTTGATCCATATTTAATATTTCTCAGCAGTTTTGCTGTCTGGAGAGCACAGAGAGAGAGGGGTTGCTTGCTTTACCTGCTAGAGACGGCTTGTTAAAATTGTGGCAGGCTCAACCTGTTTCTGTTTTCTCAATAGGCTACTTTGCTATTACATTTCACCAAACCTACAACAGAAACTTAGATTTTCCATAGCAGAATTTTCAAGAATTCATAATGAAGCAGTGGGCTGCTCAAGGCTCATGGGTTTTTTGTTGGTTTGTTTTTTTTTTCTTTTGGTACAGCAAATTGATATTTTTATTTTAAATTGGCAACAGCTCTTTGAAAATACATTTCACTGGGACCCCTATCTGGTCTTAAATTATTAGATGTTTTATTTGCAGTCTGTGCATTTGAATAGAGTCTTGCAAATTTTTTATTAGCCCTCAAGTGAGATGCCCTCCTCGCCCTTGAGAAACTATAATTTAAACAGAGATAACTTGGGGGAAATGAATGCATTTGGCAGCTCTCCTGATTCCTTGGTTATTTGCATATTCTGCAGAGGTAGCATTGTAATAATATACTTTATATGTTTGGAAAAAAAAAAAATTAAATTTTGAGATTATCCCATGTCCTCTGTCCAAACTCCTGTTTGAAGCCAGCATCAAAATGCAAAAAATGCTTTCAAGATTTCCTCCCTTCCTATTTTCACAAACATTTCTCCAGCAATGTGTGAACCAGTGCAAGGACCTGTGCACAGATCTGTTCTGCACAAAGACAGAAGAGCTGCTTCTGGTATCGGCTTCAGCTGACTGAAATCCAAACTCCTGTCACAGTCATTTCTGGAGACAGAAATGGACCTTGTTTTCTGGCTTGTCAAGTGGTTGTGTGAATGTAAACAACAATTATGTTTCATCCAAATGTCTATATTTCTGAACATTTCCATGTAAATTTTTTTGGAAATCCTTTTGGCTGAATACCATTTGCTAATTTTATCATAAATATATTATAGCCATCATCGAAGTTGGAAGGTATAAGGGTTGTAGCTTTTAAAGTTTGCAAGATGCATGGTGACCACTGTTTGCCTTTAAATAATGGTTAAAATGAGTTACCTTTTAATAAAGAAAGGATGAAATAGCAAGTCTGGATCTTAAACTGTAAACCCTCAAAAAAAAGTGGATGTAAAATTATGTCTTCTGTATAGCCAGTAGGATATGGACATTAACACAAAAATCTCCCAACACCTTGAAAGTCCCATTTCCTTTTTAATTATGATTTCTCTTGACCACTTTTATTTCCTTTCCTTGAGGAAAAATATAATGATGGGCAATTTTTACATAAAGAAATTGCAGCATGGCTTAGCAACAATGTGCAATGCTCTTTAAGTTTTAATATTTTACTTTCAGGTTGATTAATCACACAAAGAAGCTAATGGAAAAAGAAGAAAAGCTCTGCATTAAAATCCTTCAAACTTTACGGGAAATGCTTGACAAGAAAACCAACTTTGCAGAAGAGGTACTGCTTCCACTTTAATATTAAATATAGAACTAACAGTACAGTATTAATAACAGAATCTGACATGATTTCAGTTTTGTGCATGTTTTAGGGATAACTTGGTGTCTTAGGAACAGTGTGGTAAGGTAGCAAGTTGGTTTGGAACAAAAGAAACTCTCTGCCTTACATAGTTTTTTGTGAGAGACTTGATAAGAGTCAAGGCAAGCAAGATTAAATTAATTAGCAGTAGCAAGTATTACTATGTATGATTATTATATATTGGATATTCTCTATTTCTGGAGATTATTCTTAATTTGTCACACCTGACTTTACCATAAAATTAATGGAAATATAGGGATTTTTAATTGCAATTGTACAGTTTTTCCCTGCTGCCTGTGGTGCCAGACTTTTGTACTCCACACGCTTTTTAATGCTCCCAAATGTGTGAAAGGAAATCTGCAATGTTCAAGCAGAGCTGCCAGTTTTGGGAAGAAGTGACATAGTCTGTACTCTGTTAAGTGTCAATTATTTTTTGCATTCCTCTCTCCCCTCATTGCCCAGTTTTCTCTTGCAAAACCAAGTCTTTCAAATGCCTCTTTCATTTTGCTGTTCCTTTGGCTATCAGTAGGCAGATTCAGATGAAGATGTCATCTGTCCCTGTTATTTCTGAGCCTGATCCCGGTGTCTTTTGTGTAATTTCCTCTTATCCGTATTTCTGGGTATTCCCCAAACCCTTTCAGCTTTATTCACTCTTAAATATGAATCATGGAGCTATCATCTAATCTCTCAGTGCTGACATGAGACCTGCCCTGTGCAAAAATAACCAGTGTAAGTAGAGGAAACCAACCCTATCTTCACCTCCACCTCGAAGAAAACTGGTTAGGCCTGGGCAGACAAATTCTTTTTTAATGTCATAAAGATAATTTCACAGGGGAAGCAGATAGTATTATTTTTTATTATTATTCATATTTATTCTAATAGCAGTCTGGGTACATAACACCACTGCATCACATGGGAAAAATAATTTGCTTTTGTAACTGACCTTTGTAATTCTTTTAGAGAGGTTTGGCATAGACCCACCACAAGTCAACCTCATCTCAGGACTACAGGGGAAGGAAAAAAGGCAACACTTTTAATGTAGGACTTGAAACAAGCAGGAAGATTTGCTTGTTTTAGTTGCTCCTTGTACCCTGCTGTGGCTGCTGATAAAGGGAGACAGAGTTAAGGGAGGGAATTCCCATCAGGGGGAATGTGCTTCATATGTCTGTAAGGGCTCTGTTTTTCAGGAGTGGGTAAAGGAGATGTATTCCCAAACCCCTCATGTGACTTCCACCATCTTGGGGGTGCATGGTTGGTGGAAAAGCTATTTCTAAACAGAATTTCTCCCCCGTGCTTCCTCTGGAGTCCCATTGGTTTTACACTGAGGAGTGTGATGAATCATTGCAAACAAATATGTGAATAAACAAGCTGGGATATGCTTTGCAAGTGCTTCTCTGGCTTGCTATTCTTATGAGTCATTGTTCAGTGCCATGGACTTCAGAACAGTAAAAATAGCACAATGAATAGCCTCGTGTGCGTGTTTCCCATTTTTTTTTTTGGGCTGTGATCTCACTGCCTGCAAAGTTATTCAACTACGGTATGCAGATATTAAAAAAAAAATAAAATAGTAGTAAATACATAATGGTCATAACCAGAACAAAGCTACAGAGGGGCGTGGGACATTTTGACAGGAAGCTTGAGGTTGCTAATCACCCATCAAATTGTATTTTCTGTGATAAACCTGACAGAAATGGTCAGCCTCCAGTTTCTGCAGACTTTCCCACAGTGAGAAAGAAGGATGAAATAATGAAATAAAGTTTCCTTCTCTCTCTTCATGTTAATTCCCACCACTGAGCACCTTCTACTGTCTTTGTCCTTCATTTGACCACTGGAAGGTAGCCTGTGTCATTTGCTGAAGGAACAGGATGCAAAAGAGGAGTAGGGGCTTATTTCAGTGATTTTATACCTATTCCTGCATCCACTATGTCAACTCTATAGTTGCACCTCCTCTTGGTGGGCAGTTTCAGGTCTCTGGTGCTCTCCTGGCTCCATTTCCTTGGATTTCCTGGCAGTCAGCCCCTGAGGCAGCACTCATTTGTGCTTAGCACCACAGCATCTAATTGTGCTGGGAATCAAAGTTTAATTTCAGAAGTTTGATTTAAGGTACATAAACGACACATAAAATCTCCTGGCCATTGATTGGCTTTCATAAGTAATAGTGGGTGATTATTGCAGTCTCCTGGGAGTTCTGCATCGAGTCTTAGCCCTGTTTATATTGATTAGGTCACCAACTGGAGTTAAACCTGATCTACAGCTCCTCTCTTCCAAAACAGCGTTAAAACACTTGGGGAAAGCAGTGTGTGGGGAGAGCTCACATTGCCTCTATTTAGATAGCTACTGCAGCATCTAAATGTATTTATCTAAAGCTTGTTTCAGATTGACTATTTGAAGAAAAGCAGGAGGAACAGAAAGGACTGTGCTTGGACTGGATGTGCCCCATCTATATTTGGGGTTAGAATCACTGGCAGTTTTTATGTCCATTTTGCAAAACCAGAGTGATCTTGGACTGGCAATTTTGAATTTATTTAGTCATATATTTTTGTGTTTCGCCGTAGTGCTTCATATCAGTTTAATTTCTGTATGAATGTTGCCTCTAGACCTATTTATGCACCTCAGATTGAATCTGAGTAACATTTCCAAAAGCACCTGAGACATGTAGACTGATGTGTGCTCACTTTGCAAATTTTTGGAGCAGTTTAAAATCTTAGCATTACCTTGCTGCCCTGCATAAAGTGTCTGTCCATACAACAGAGCTGCTGAGCCAGGAAGGGTGGTCCAGCATCTTTAAAGAGGGTTCATAAGCTTAAATTAAACCCTCCTCAGGGAATTGGATGAAGTTGTTGAACTCTTGATCTAATGGTGCTCATATGGACTTCTTGCCTGACTCCAGCTGCTGGCAATGCCTTGGGTACAGACAGCCTGCTGATTTCCCAGCTGTTCATAAACCTCTGGGGGGAAAAATGTCCTCTCTGCTACCATGTGTATATTATATCTGATCAGATGTGCTAATGGATGGTAGGGTGTTACAGAATGTGGCAGAATCCAGGCCTTTGTGCCCCTCCCTAAGGCAGCTCCTCTGAGAAACACTACTGTAAATAAATGGAACCCTTCAGGAAGGGGTGCCTGTGCTGCAGACAACATACTTTATACTTTTTCTTCCTCTTTTAGGTGTTGAACATCAGTATAAATAATTGAAAACTGCATTTTTAAGTGTCAGTAGAACAAAGACTCTGTAAGCTGCTTAATTGTCAGAAATAAGTAGTTGCACTTTTTGCCTTTTTTGGAAAAACTCATGAAAAATGTTGGTTTTTTTCTTAGACATTTGCACTAGTTCATGATTTAAAATCTTAGAAGTAGCTTTGTGGCCTTTTGTTTTGCAAGGGTAATGTTTCTGCATTCAACTTTAGATATTAAATGTAAGCTGTGCTCTCCCCTTTGTTTGCAGGAACACCACCAAATATACATGTGAAAGAAAAAGTATAGCTTTGGTGGAAATACAAATGTATTTTATTACTGTAAGATGTGGTCCTAGATATGGCCACTGCTGGCTCTTGGTCATTTTGTGCCAGAAGAACTGAATCTTCTCATGTGGAGCTGTTGACAAAACTCCAGTGAGTTTGTCAAAAGCAGTCGTGCCAATTTATTGTTGTATTGATCTACCAGGCAAGCTGAAGCCAGTGGGAGCTGCAGGTCTTTTTCTGCTGGGGTAAATGGCCTCAATGGGCATTATAAGCCAGGAGATTTTGGGAGCCACTGCAATGTCCCGGCATTGCAGCACTGAGAATCACAGACATTCTCAACTTAAACTGCATGCTATTCTATAGCCTCATCTTTTCAAGATGATTTGACTTATTTGCATTTGCAAATTAGGCAGCATTTGTAGGTAAAAAAAAAAAAAGGAGGAAAAAGAATAATTCTGAAAATGTGTTGCTTGTTGAATGTATCATACCTCAAAAGAATGCTTATTTTAAATGGGCAAGCGAGATTCCTTTATTTGTGTTACTACTCACATTTTGGGTTAGTGGCACTGCAGGCATTTTGAAGAATTACATTTAATTTTTCCTGTTTCTGCTGTCAGTTTTATTTGTGCTGATGTATGAAAATACCTGTGCACTGGCCTGTTTTTCCCTGTTGTCAACAGGCCATTCTCCTCACTGAGCTCAGTGTGCCTGTGAGTTGACAGGGGGTCAGAAACACCATAGGAGGACATGTATCCTCAGTGCTGTTTGTATTGATTTTTTTTTTTAAATCACTTACCTATTTTAGCTGATAAAGGACACTTTTCAGGATCCTACATTAAAAACTTGCTCCTTAGGAAAGCAGTTCACAGGGAGGGACTGGAGGTGCAGGGAGGTCCAGCAGTGCTGGCTTAGCTGTGACCAGCACTTCTGGTATGGTCAAAAAAACTGCTGTTGTGGCTTTGTCATGGGAGTAAAATAATGAGTGAAAACTCAAACATAAGTGGGACAAACCCCTTAGTCTTGGAGATGCTTTGTGTGAAGGTGGTGATCAGCTGCAGGATCCTCCAGGAATTTATTACATACAGGATTCAAGCTTTGCTATTGCCCTGAATCCTCTGAGCCAGTAATTGCAGTGGCAGGAACACCAGAGCTTTCAGATATGCAAGGCTAAACACTGGACGTGGTCAGAACCTGAAAATGTGGTAATTTCTCATTAGACCCACGCACTGACATTTTAAAAAAGAGAGAAAACCTACAGAAAAACAAATGAGCACAGTTTCACTTTTCCCCCTCTAGGCTTCAAGCTGGGATAATTAAGCAAAGGGATACCAGGAGGCATGTGATGGTGTTGTTTGTTCTAGCCAGGTGTTGTCAGCCACAGTGCTCAGAGCCTCGGGCCAGCAGCCACTGTTGTGTTGTTATTGCTGCACATTTCTGGGGCTGTGACAGGCAGCATCAACC